CGATATTAAGCAAGAACCATAGTTGTCGAATGGTTTATTTGTGTCAGCTGTTATAGAGTTCAAAGAACCGACACGAAAGGACGAAGTGATCTGAATACCAACGCCAACACACCGACAGACTCAACAAATTTCCTCTTTTTGTCTGCTCAAATTTGCAGCTACAATAAAATCAAGATTAGATCAGGACTTTTCTGCTCCTTTGCGTTTGCGTTATATGCATTTTTGGGCCGTGTGGTGGGTGAGTCCAGATCACTTTGTACCATCGTGTCACAAGACTTGTCAGAAGCTCATAGTTGTGAGGGTCCCCATTCAAGTTCAAGCGACTGGCTCAACACCACAGACCCTATTGTTGTATCTAATGTTTCCAAACGCCAACCATTCGCTTCTTCGCCTTTTCCTGCCATTCTTTCGTTCCATCTCCTCTGTCTCTCTCGTGTGTCTGTTTTTCTCTATAAATAGTGTGTGAGTTCACTGTCCACGGCCCATCGTCGGAGGGCCTCGAAGCCAAACATCGAACGAGGGCCCTGCCCAGATCGCTGGGGCTTAACGCCGAGAAACGACAAGACCGTGCCCTCTACCGATTTTCAAGAGGTTTTCTACCCGGATTCAAGCTTCGATCCACCACACACTGTGGCGACTGCCATAACATTTACTAGTGCAGGACAACCTTGTAAAACTCTCTTGCGGCTGATCTTGCCACCCCGTACGTTTTTTTTCGTCCCCCCACAACAGCGCGCCGTGTAGCACATCTGTGAACAACCATACCCGAGGCCATCGTGCTGGCAACCACCAAGTACACTACGTCGTCGTGGTCGTCGTCGCGGCATCAATCTTGACTGAAAAAAAAATAACTACAAAAAACTTCGCGGCGGAAACCAACCAAAAACCCCCGCGCCCTATTTCAAATCCCACCGCATAATACCTCGTTCTCGGCCCACCTTTATCTGTAAGCGCGAGTAGTAAGTATTAGCTGCAGCGCGATTCGCTACTGACTTCCTACTTTCTACTTTAGTACATACAGCTAGCTAGAAGCATTCTTTCCTAGAGACTGTGAAGTGGTTCACATATCTACTGATCACCTGCGCTGTAGCAGTATACATAAAAATTACGCCGTGACTCGACCTCGTACGCTACTTCTGTTGAACACCTCTCCGCTGGACACTGGTTTTCCGATATAAGTAGAAAAGAGAGTATATTGAATTTTTCATCACTTTACATACATTTCCAAAGGTTCGATAAAAACACCGAACTTTAAACCAAAAACACATACGGCAACACAATCGACAATTTGTGATCGCCAAGGTATGGTAAATTGACAAACTTGACTGAAACTCGTTTGGAAACCTTTTTTTTTTTCTTGGTCCAAATTTTGACGCCGTTCGGAAGTTTTAGTGCTCATTAAAGATATAATATATAAATATATATATATATATATATATCTTGGGCAAGCACATCAGGTCAAAGGAAACAATCAAAGGGAGCTCAAAAGACCACTTTAGCAGTACACAGGACGTAGCCACCACCGCTTTTCCGTTAAAAGTTGGAATTGCATCGAAACTCGTCTCCTTTCTGTTCATTTCTGGTCTGTTTTTGGGTTCTCGACGCAGGGACGTCGTTGCACTTTTTTTATCGCCAATAACATTGGCATTCTTTCCAGCTTTAATTTTTGAGAACAGAAATACAAGGCTGAACGATGCCTCAAATACCACTGCCGCCTTCTGCAACAATGCAGACATCTTCAGAGCCACCCAGAACGCTATGGATGGGCGATCTAGATCCCAGTTTCGACGAAGCCACAATTCAGCAGATTTGGGAAAAACTTCAAAAACAGGTCAGTGTTAAACTGATCCGTGCCAAGAAAAACCTCCTCATTCCATGTAGCACCAGCAGCACGTTCAGCGAGACTGAAAACCCGGATTCGAAAAATAGTCATTCCCGGAACGCACAAGAAGCCGACCTCAATGTTGACGACGATCATGTTTCTCACGATGCAACGACGGCAGCTACTGCAGCTACTGGCAACACCACTTCGAATCAGAAAATTAGTATCAATGGCGTTTCGTTCATTGATCCCAACACGACACAGCTTCACCATGCTGGTTACTGCTTTGTGGAATTTAACAATCTCGCGGATGCACAATGGGCGCTGTCACTCAATTCCAGTCCACTTCCTAACATAATAAGCCAGTCAACCCAATTGGCAACAAACCCATCCGGTCTGCGAAATTTCCGTCTCAATTGGGCATCCGGTGCAACTTTGCAAAGCGCCATTCCATCTACTCCTGAGTTTTCACTCTTCGTTGGTGATCTTTCTCCATCCGCTACGGAAGCACACCTCTTGTCATTATTCCAAAAAAGCTTCAGAAGTGTCAAGACCGTACGGGTCATGACTGATCCCATCACAGGTGCGTCTAGATGCTTTGGATTTGTCAGATTCGGTGATGAATCCGAAAGACGCAGGGCGCTTGTCGAAATGAATGGAGTTTGGTGCCAAGGACGCAACTTACGCGTAGCATATGCTACTCCTCGTAATAATGTCATGTGGCAACTATCTCAAAACCAACAGCAGCAGCAGCAGCAGCAACCGCAGCAACCACAGCAACCGCAACGACAGCATCAACAGTACCAGCCATCTGCTCACCCACCACCGATTCACGATCAACAGGAACAGCCACTTCAGGTGCCCTTTCAGCAGCATCAGCATCAACCTCAATCTCAACATCAACATCAACAACAACACCAACAACAACACCAACAACAACACCAACAACAACAACAGCATTATCATAATTACCAACATGGCCATCAACAACAACCACAACAACCACAACAGCAACAGCAACAACATCTGCAATCTTCTCAAGCTTTTTCAAACCCTTACACTCAGTTTCAAAATCTACAACTACCTGGCAATTACATGGTGGAGAATCCAGTTGCTTCAGTATCGGATATTGGCGATAGTCAAGCCCCGCTACTAATGAGAACAGCGTCTTCATTGGTCAACCACAACTTTGTGGGCTTTTCAAGACCTGCTAACGACCAATCGCTCTCGTATCTGCCCTCTACAGATGGTACGGTGCCCACAAATTTCTCGAACAACCAAGGACGAAACCAACCTGCTTTGCACAATTCCATCAACACCACGGTGTTCATTGGTGGGTTGACGTCACAAATCTCTGAGCGCCAATTACACTCTATGTTTGCGCCTTTTGGCAGTGTGATCAATGTTAAGATTCCTCTTGGGAAAGGGTGTGGATTTGTGAAATACGCGAATCGCATAGACGCTGAAGCTGCAATACAAGGCATGCAAGGATTTATCGTGGGCGGGAACCCAATACGATTATCCTGGGGAAGGACTTCTTCAGACATGAGCAGAGGGCCGATGAACGCTCAGGAAGTCCCTGCGTCATTGTCAAATATGCATGTTGAGTATCCCTCCCAAGTTTGGAATGAGCCTGATGGTGGTCTTTCGCGGCGTTCTATATATGCTTCAGCGTCCTCCCACTTGCAGAGTCAGGACGCTGCATCTCAGGCAAACAGTGTCCCGCCTGTACATCCGTCACTATTGTGAGTGTTCCAATGGAAAAAACCTCAAGGCGATACATTCGTCAATAATATTTCAAAAGTTCAGTTCTGACCAACAACTTTCCAGATTCACAGGTCTTAATGGTTTTTAGAAAGGCAGGAGACAATTGTTCTCGTAATGCTTGATTTTTCATTTTAAAGAAGAGTATGAAGCCCCACGTTAGTTAACTTGTTTTTAGATGAATTCACAATTAGGATATCAGCAAATGTTAGAAGTAGTTGATTGATGTTTGATAGTCGCTGGTACGACAAGTAAGTACAAGGGCAAAAATATTTGACTTGTTTGAAGTGAAAGAAATAAATCGTAACTTGCTTACAAAATTAGAGTAGTTGTGCTAACAAGATTGTCAGTGACACCCGATAAACAACAGTCAATGCTCTCCGATCATCAGATAGTCAACAGAACATGTTCAAATCATCACCTCACGTGCCTGATCCATCATCGCTATGGGTGTGGAAGTTAATTATGGTGGATATTATTGTTCCTGTTCATCAAGACTTTTAACTGAATGACGACTTGATTCGTTTTGTCCACAGTAGCTACAATTGAAATGTTGTCGTTACAATTGGCACATCAGCTTCTTAATCAAAATGTGCTCTTGGTGGGCGCTGGCGAAGTAGCCATGACGCGACTTCCCAAGCTGTTACCAACAGGATGTAAATTGACTGTAATAGCGCCAGTAATTCACGATGATATGTGGGAGTACTTTGACATCGACAAAGACATTGAGGAAGAACAGCTTGTAGATCCAGATTGGACTCCTGAAAAGCACAAAATATACCAAATTATTCGACGTGGATTTGGAAACACAGATCTTGTACTTTTCGGCAAACAACCTAACCATCGAGATGAAATTGACAAATTCTTGAGCGGCGATGAGGAAGACCAATCAGTGCAAAAAGCATTGAAAGAGGATCAGAAAACTGTACCGAATTGGCATTTCATCTTAACGTGCATTCCAAATGCCAAATTGAGCGAGAAAATTTATCGTGGTGCGAAACTTGTGCTTGGTCCCAATGTGCTGTGTAATGTCGCAGACAATCCGCCATTATGCGATTTTTATTTTGGCAGTAACGTCACACTGGGGGCAGAAGACGCTAGTGGGAAAAACAAACCAATTCAAATTTTGATATCATCAAATGGAAACTCTCCTAGATTTACCGCTTTGCTGAAGCAGGAAATCCAAAATCAGTACGGTGACCTTCCGATTGGCAAAAGTGTTGGGAAGTTGGGATCTCTGCGATCTCAAATTCGTAAAGTTTCCGAAGAAACAAACCGTGGTTCATTCAGTCAAGCGGATTTGGTGAAATATCGAATGAACTGGATTCGCAATTGTACAGATGGCTTTGGAGTTTCTCATTGTCACGAAATCGACGTTGATAAGACGGTGGGACTGTTTACCGAGATGTTTGCTACAATGAGCTTGGATCAACCAAATCAACAAGAATTGTTAAAAAACTATGTGGAGACCAGGAGCGGCAGTGAGCAGGATAAGTCAACTCAAAACTATATGAAAGGCAGGAGTGGCAAAAAGCAAGAGAAGTCAACTCAGAACTAGTAAAATGTCGAATTGAGCCAGTATGTAGTATATAAGCAGTTCCATAGGAGAACGAACAAAGAGGTCAAACAAAAAAACGAAAAAAAAAAAAATAAAGTAGTGATGGGATACGGGGATCCTTATGTGTATCCTTTGAACGCCTCAATTTTAGAAAATATAAAGTGCGTGTTCCTTAACCCCGCCCAAATTTGTCAGTTTCTCTTTCTCTCTCTTTCTCTCTCCCTCATCTCTCTCTCTCTCTCTCTCTCTCCCTCTCTCTCTCTCTCTCTCTCTCTCAACTCCTACACCAGTTTCTTACCCTCGATAGATTCGCCTCTTCTGGCGGCGAACTTCGTAGCGGCATCAACGCCTTCCTTAACCACGGCGACTCTCATCGTGGCCAAAACGTTGTGAGCAGCGTTAGAGTGCAAGTAGACTCCACCGTTGAATGCACGAGTGGCGTCTTTGCCCAAAGCGGCTTGGATCAACGTTTCACCGCCAGGATGCTCTGTGATGTAGCCGGAAACGTCGTGGACAATCCCGGAAATGACCACCAAACCCGGGTTCGATTTGACATGGTCCATAAACTCGGACTTGTCCCAGATTGGAAGCTTGGTGAGCGGGGTGCCCCAGTTGAGCGTTGACCGCTGGCGGTCGATACGCTTCTGCTGCTGTTGCACGATGCCCTGTTGGATTGCGTTTTGCGAGAACTTCTTCAAATTGAAAGCCAGACCCACCACTGACGACACATAAATAAATACTTTGGTAGGGTCGTATTGGTACCATTTGATAGCGTTTCTGTAGTCTGTTGGGAACTCATGGTGGAAATTGTGGTAGCCTTCGCCGAACGTGACCAGCGCGGTGATCCAGTTGTCACGTGGCGTTCTTCTATCGTCAAACGGTTGGTCTCCCAAGTAATGTGCCAGAGAGTTGATGCAGAAAGTAGCCTGTTGGATGCAAAACGAACGCAAAATCCCGGCGTAGATGAACCCGCCCAACATATCGTTGAACAAGTATTTGCCCAACAACGCAGGAAGCACAAATGCGCTGAAAAACATGATTGGGATGTAGTGTCTGTGTTGGAACCGAACGATCCAGTCGGCGGTCAAGTCGTCGATATCGGCTCTAGCACGGTATTTAGGGTTGGGCTGCAAAAGCATCCATCCCATATGCGAGTACCAAAGTCCCTTACGGGCGTCGTAGGGGTCGCGAGACGTGTCTGTGTAACGATGGTGAATACGGTGCGAATGTCCCCACCATTTGATAGAGCCTTCTACCGAAGCTGCGCCGAAAAACGCGAAAAACAGCCGTAGCGGCCACCGGGCCGAATAGGCCCGGTGCGCCCACAGCCGGTGGTAGCCGGCTGTGATGGAGACACCGCCCAAAACGTAGTAAACTAGCGAGAAAATCAGCATGTTGCGGGTCAAAGGGGCCCGTCCGGAGAGCGCAAAATACCATCCGGCCGCGGGGATCCCGCACACCAGCACCATATTGAGCCAGTTGATGTGTTGGTGCCAGTTGTTGAGAGTCCAGGGTTGTTCTGAGATGTGGCGGTTGGCCTTGTACCGGTCTTTTTCCTCCTGGTCGCGTTTCAGTAGATAGTCCATGTTGGAGTCGCTGGCGGCGGTGGCCGCATCGAAATCCACGTCCACCATATTTTTCGATCCCATAAGACTTCCGAGTCCGTTGACGACCCTTACGGATTTTTTGTTGGCACCCGCAGCCAAAATGTTGGCGTTGACCAGATCCACTTGTTCCATGGTTTGGGGTATTTTTGCTATTGGGTGATTGAGTGGGTGGGTGGGGTAATAAAGTGATTGCTTAGAGGGAGCTGACTGCCAAACGGACCTCCAATTTTGGGGCTGTCTTTTATAGCGGTGTGGTGGGAGAGAGCTGAACATCCAACAAAAAAAAAATAGCTGTACCTTGAGAGGGTCACGTGGCTTCTGTTGGAGGGCGCGCGCGTGTTGATTTCTTTTTTTCTTTGTTTTTTTAGTGCGGTTGGAAAAGGGGACGTTAACGGGATAGAAGACGGACCAGGATGGGGTGGGGTCACCTTTTTTTTCTGTTGAGCAGAGGGAGAGTGTGTGTGCGATAATGGGGTGACAGGTTTGGACCGAAAACTGCGGGGTCTAGAAGCGTATAGATGTTTCTCAACAAAGAGGCTTAAGGCGGGAATTGTGCAGAGGGATCTAGGACCGCTTACGTAATAAAATGTGGTTCGATGTGTCAGTAAACGATGTGTCAGTAAACGATATGTCCGATATACAGGGGAGGAATCGAAGAGAATCGAAGGGGTTCGAAGAGGAGTCGAAGAGGAATCGAAGAGGAGTCGAAGAGGAGTCGAAGAGGGTGGTGATTAAGACACAAAGGAATAGGGCTGCCAATTTGGAATGAGAACACGGATTAGAGTTCAAGATCTGGGTAGCAAGAAGACTATGGCGGATGGGGGATGTAAGTATTATAGGTTTGACAAAGTGTTACTAGTCGGTAGAGTCCTGCTGATCGCAGCGGTAAGTAACAGGTCGGGTTTTGCTATCAGATAGTTATATGGTGGGAACGTGTGTGTCTGCCTAGCCAGAGTGGTGTGCGCAATGGGTAACGAAAATTTCAATAATCCCAATGGGTAACCCGTCATGTGATCTACGGACTACCTATAATCACGTGATTTTAGGCCAGTTTTTTTCCTGAGTAACCTATCACATATTAAGTGCGTTACTTGCTGCTTACTCACGGAGTTTTCAAGCAAAATAGATAAATGCGTTCGTCTCGTAGAGTCAGAAATATGGAATTGTGATAAGGTCTTTACGAACTGTCAACGAGCTCAACTCTTCCATTAACAAAATGTTGAAATTTCGGCCCTGGCGCAGAATGAATCCCGTTCACGTTGCTCACTCACGGACTTTTCGACCAGATAAGGTGTTTCATCTACTACGATTAGACCTTTCACCGGTCACGTGACCTCCTACTTTTGTAAGCTCATCCGCCTCCTACATAGCCCCAAGGAGTTTTGATGAAGCTTGGTACGTAGTTCCAACGCATACTCGTCGAACCCTGTGCCACAAACTACTTTCTAACGTATATGAGCGATACGTAACAAATACAGGGCAGTTCAATTGCCAGCCATAAATGGACAACGGTTCCCCGAACTCTACATCTCTCAACCCACGGATCTGTTCTGCTGCATCTCGAGGGTTGTTCGAGTAAAGAGAAGCCCTTTACTCGAGCATGACACTACGACAGTGACAAAATTGACAAGATACTTAAAGAACCTAGAAAACGAAACTGATGATTCAACTGGCAAATAAGTCCAAATAGGATGCTAGCAATCAGATGAAACCGACAATACCGACTCAAACGAAGAAGTCGTCACTGATGAAGACCTTTTTGCTTCGAAAGTGATATCGATGAAGATGTACATGTCGCGACTAATGAAAAAGAATCCATTTCAATCAGACTCGAGGAGAAAAGCGCCTATAAGGCCGCATATGCAAAAGAAATTAATGAACTTGAAGACCCCAAACATGGTGTGTAAAGATCCACATAAACCCATAAGTGGTATACACCTCCACGCTCATTTTCACCACCAAGAGAGATGGTAGGCAAAAGGCAGACCCCGAAAACTGTCTGAACCTCTGTCTGTCTAGCGTCAGATCTATGACAAGGTGATCACGTGATACAATGACAGCGACAGAATTGACAAGATATTCAAAAAATTCAGAACTGCTACTGTTCTAACAAGGACTAAATCGACTGTACCAACTGGTTACACTCGTTATTGATCATATAGCTTCTACAGCAGATCATTGGCCTCGCTTGCAGCCGGAACACTCGAAAATATTTACATCCGTCTGCGAGGGAACTTTTCAAGAATTTTATTAGAAGGGACGTTTTATCGATCCTACAAGCTCAATCCATTTATGCTTGCTACGTCGTCACAGAGAGGTATCTCTCAACTTAATAAGATAACAGTTTACCTCTTACAATAGCAAATAGAATCACCCAAGATTTGGGAAGTTTATTGTGCAATGACACTAAAAAGACAGTCTCAACACGAGTTTGAACACTCTTTGAGTGGCTTACCAAACTAAGACTAAGCAATATCATCACCCCTGGCTTATCGGCAATGCGCTTCTAAACAAGATAGCCACTCTGTTACATCGCTGACCTATTGCTGAGCACTTATTTTTGGAAGATATCGATTATATCTCCGATCGACACTTGATCGCGATAATCGCTCTGTGCACGGTGAGCCCTACATTCAGAAATGAAAAAGCAGGAAGATATCGTTACAATTACATTCGTTATCATTATTATTAGTCACGTATCTAGTATACATATATGCAGTTTTTTAACTTCTTAGTGTTCTCAAACCTTCTCTACAACTTCAACGACACCTTTGCCAGCGTCCGAACAAGTATCGCTGTGATTCGCAGAACTTGTAGATGGTACAAACTTCTTCGAGTGACGAGCGCTTGGACAAGTTTCGAATAATTCGTCAATCTGTTCAAGAGTGAGACCCTTGGTTTCGTAAATGAAAAAGTAGACGAACACGAAGCACAAGAATGTGCAACCTCCCCAGATGAAGAAAACTTTGGATTGTAGGTTTGCATGTTCGCTGTCGACAAGGTATGGGGTAGCGTAGGCAATGGCAAAATTGAACAGCCAGTTTGAAGCAGCACATACAGCAACAGATTTGGCTCTAACGGTCAATGGGAAAATTTCACCAACGACCACCCAAGCCAAGGGACCCCATGTAGATGCAAAAGAGGCAATGAAGGTACAAGAGAACGCAATCAAAGTCTTGTTGGCTGAAAAGCTGTTTGGTAGCGCGGTACCAACGGATGCGACAATGAGCTCACTGACGCACATACCAACGGCACCCCATAGGAGCAAGTTTCTTCTACCCGCAATTTCCACCAATGCAATACCTGGAATGGTCATCACAACGTTGACAACGTTCATAATAAGTTGAATGATGAAAGGGTCCTTGATGCCAGAGTTTTGGAAAAACTGAGTACCGTAGTAGAAAATGAAATTGATACCGGTTAGTTGTTGTAGACCTTGGATGGCAATACCAATGAGGATACGTTTCAACTGATGATTGGTTGGTTTGAAACAGTCAAAAATCGATGATGAGCTTACGGAACTTTCGTAATTGTAGTTAACGATGATTTCCTCAAGTTCCGCTTCAATAGATTCATGTTCTTGTGGTAGTCCCCTTAGTTTGGCAAGTGCCTTGCTTGCCTCAGGTATTTTCCCTTTCATGACGAAAAAGCGTGGAGATTCAGGTAGAATGAGCATACCGACAAATAGAATCAAAGCCCATAAGAGCTGAATGGCAATTGGAATCCTGTAAGAACCAGAGTCATTTCTGGCATGAGTGCCCTGGTTAACACAAGCAGCAAGTAATAGACCAATAGTAATAGCCCATTGGTAGCACGATGTCACAGCGCCTCTGATCCATTTTGGAGATGCTTCTGCCTGGTATAGTGGGACAATAGCTGACAAAATACCAACACCCGCGCCAGCAATGACTCTGCCAGCAACCAATAGACCCTGTCCTGAGGATGCAATTTGCAAGATAACACCAACAGAAAAAATAATGCTTGAGATAATGAGACCAAGTCTGCGACCTAAAGTGTCTGATGCGAGAGGCGCCAAAATAGCGCCGCAGAATGTACCAGCAGACAAAATAGCAGTGATCAACGAGGTTTCATTTGCCGTGAAGTGACCACGAGAAGTGAAATGCTCTTTCACGTAGTCCATGGCTAAAACACCTGAAATGGTACCAGTGCCGTATCCAAAAAGAATACCCCCAAAGGCTACAAAAAGCCCAATGAAAACGGCTCTGGATTTAGAACCTTGGATGTCTTCTTCCGCGTGGAAAAGTGTTTGAAGAATTCCCATTGCAAGAGAGGAAAGCTTGTGTTTTTAGTTGTAGAAAGTGTAAGTTCGATTGTGGTACAACCCTGTGAGAATTGTAAGTATTTAATGATCTTCTGAGCATAAGGTAAATCTCCCCCAATTGGAGGTCGCTTGTGGTCTTTTTATACTTGACTAGAGCTTTCCAGCCATCGCGTCCAGCTCTTGTCGCTCCCCGCAATGCATACCACAGGGTTTACGGAGAAACTAACAAAATCTTGGCTTCTGCGCATATCTCCATGGCAACAGGCTTTTTTAGCTCTCGAGGTTGTTCCGGGCCATCCCTGCGCCCGCATTGTTCTCCGCTCGAGTTTTTCCGCCAGTCACCGCTCAACCGGAAAAAACTTATTTTTCCAGTTCCTGCGGCGAGATAGTTCTGCACGATTCCGAACACCGCGATCTTTACGCTCATCGCCTGTGCTGGAAGGATTCTTGGCGTACCGGGTTGCCAGTATCGATCGTCGTAGAGAAGAGAATCCACCGAGATAGCTGGTTCAATCGTTTTATCATGTCATCGAGGTATTCGCGAAACTATTGAGCCTTTTTTCACAGATGAAAAACAGTAAACAGGAAGATCGATGGTGAAAAAGAGGCGGCGACATAAGACACCGGAGATTCAGAGTAAGGTATTTTGATAGTGATAGGTCGGCATCAAAAGACATAACTGACGTCACCAGCGTCAGTGGCCGTTTCTTGACAATTATGACCTCTGCCTTTAGTGCTCCAATGTTATTGTGAGTAAACTTAGATCAGCAGGCGTCATAAAACACAATCACTTTTGAGCATTTTAGAGTGTCGGTGCTACTTCAAAATCAAAGAAATGTTTACTTTCGCGACCGAGGACCGTTTCCATCAAATAGGCAGCGTTGAGATCCATGCATAAAATCTTGCTTAACTAATCATGGACCCTGCATATCTAGCCTGCAGGTGATAAAGAAAATTAAGGTCATGATCTTAAAAATGTAATTACAAGGCAAACAAGCGCTGTCATCTGTTATTGACGACTGTACGAGGTTCCAAAGGTTTTTCACTCAATTTCCGTGTCAATGAGGTACTCTCGTGATACAAAAATGCATTCAAAGGCAGAATCTGACGGACTAACGCTGACAGAATTCTCCTTCATCGGTGATGTCTAAAAACCAAGTGATTGATTTACAAAAATTACAGAAATTAACGGAAACTCTACTGGAGTGTGGTAACAAATGCCAAAAACCCTTCAAAGACCACGAGCTCACTATAAGCAGACGTTTTGTTGACGGAAAGGTGCAATCACTACCAAATCGATCATGCGCATTTCTTCCCAGCACTTCAGTGACAACCTTCTACAGAATGAAGCTGAACGCGCGGTCAAACCAGTTAAGTTTTGGTGGGTTAGCAGCCCAGTACTCATCCTCTTCGGCGAGTTCTTGTAATCCCGATACGAGGTCCATATCGTCTGCTTTGATAAACTTTGTCTTGAAGTAAACCTTGTGCGCGAGGAAGAATACAATGAAAAAAGGAATCATGAAGTAGGAGAAGACGAAACTTTGTGTATCCCAGTTGTCGTGCAAAAAAACCGTATAACCGCTCACAAGAAGCATTAGCACTAGCCAAAACAACGAGTGCCATGTGGCATATGGCAGAAACTTGCTATAGTATGGTAAAGTTTTTAGGTCAATTCCTTGGGCGAGACAGCCTTCGCGGAAACGCAAGTATGCGACACAGATGAAGATGTAGGTAATGGCCATTGCCGCCGTTTCCACGTTCAAAAACCACGTCAGTACATTGTTGGTGTTGTTGGAAACGGACAAGTAGGCCAATCCAGAGATCAACAAGACCGAAATGCAACAGTAGATAGGAACACCTCTCTTGGTGACTTTTTTGAAGAACTTGGGGGCTTGGCCTTCGATGGCCAAACGGTGTAATACCCGGGAGGCCGAAAATAAAGAGGAATTACCGGCAGAAATAATCGAGGTCAAAATCAGCACATTAACAATGTGCGGCAAAACTTTGATACCCAAGCTTTTCATAGCAGACACGTATGGCGAAGCACCTGCTCCGGTGGCTCCGTCTTCTAGGGCCTTTTTCAAAAGTGGATCGTTGAACGGGATTAGCACACCAACACAAATGGCGCCGCCGATGTAGAAGATGATCAAACGACCAAAAACTTTCTTGAAAGCAGCTGGAATCACCTTTCTGGGGTTCATGGCTTCACTTGCAGCGTTTCCCAGATAGTCAACACCCCAAAAAACGTACAGGGCGAAGACCAAGCAGGCCATAAAACCGTTGAATTTACCAGATGCTCCAGTAGTGATATATTCGGCAAAAGCGCCCGGTTCATCCCAGTAGCGGAACCCCAGGACTTTGTGTTGAGGGTTACCGCCCGACATGGCAACAATGGTGAAAATGATGAGCCCAATGGCTAGCACAACTTTCCCGATCGACAGATAGAACTCACCCTCACCAAAAAAAAACACCGAATACAAGTTGAGCAATGCGAAGCCTGCAATCAGCACACTGATGATCACCGCTTTAGGAATTTTATCAGTCCAATACTCGATCACCAGACACACGGCGGTGATCTCAAAACACACATTTGCGGCCTGGCAAACGAAGTAGGTCCAGCCCACTGCAAATCCGCACGATCTGTCCACAAATCTTTCGGTGTAGTGCACGAACGATCCTGTCACTGGCAGAAACGTGGCCATTACACACATAGAAATTGACAGTCCAATGAAAACCACAGACCACAGAGAAAAGGCGATGAGAAGCGAGGCGGGTCCGCCTTGCAGCACTTTCCCACCAATAGACACGAAGAGGGCGGTTCCGATAGCTCCACCGATACCAATCATCGACACCTGACGCGGCAGAAGCTTTCTGCGTTCAATACGTGCTGCCAGATCTGTATTGTCTTTCCCAGTGCTGAGGCTGTCGTTCCCTTCCACATACGACACAGATCCCACCTGCAGTTCATGCACCTCTTCGATGGGAAGCTTTTTTTTGTCCACTGCGAAGTTCATTGTTTCAAGAAAACAAACAATTACGATGGATAGGTATTTCTGAAGAAGCTTAGCTTGTTGAACTTCTTCAGTACATGTACAGAAAGATGTAGTAAAAGTGCAAGAAAGACGCTATTGATATAAGAAAAAGTTCGAGCTCTTCTATGATCTTTGATAAATTACTTTTGAACCCTGCTCCAATCGGTAATCATTGAAACGATAGCAGTCTGCTAATGTCAAGTTATGGATGGTTGATAGCTGCTGTTGCTTGCCATTGTTCTGTTGGCTAGTAGTTCCGACTAATTTTCCTGGGTATACTAATAGCGATGGCTAAGCTATCTTAAGACCAAATATGGACATATTCTGCTAAATCAGAAAATGGTCGCTAAAACCTTCCGATCGCGGGAGGATAGATTATCACATGAAAGAGACACGTGCACAAAGTCTGAGAATCGTTGTTTACGGATCTGACAATCGGCGTCGAAAACGGCAGTTTGTGCCGGAGCGTTGTACTTTTTGAGCCTTCCGTACACGGCATAAAGTACCGAAGACATTGAATTAGCGTAACTACTGGAAGGGAAAGGAAGCGATGAGCTCGATGATCTGAACAAGAAAGGATGTGGTGAAGTGAGGAGCGAGAAGCATTGCAAATTTGATAATGGAAGGATAGTGCAATGATTAGAGATTTGGGCAGGTAACGACGACTCATTCGTAGATGAGCGAACTGCAGAACGTTTCTACCATGGGTCAAACGAAAAGCGGAGGAGAGAAGGTTGGATTCAAGAGCACTGGCGAAAGGATTACAGTATAATGAGCGTCTTTTTTGGAATACAGAGGAAGAGATGTGTGGACTGTGATGTTCTCTGCGAGTAAAATCGAATAAGATTCTTTTTTTACTACATTTTCCGAAACTTTATGGGCTACATGGGAATACAATGTGTTATCTGATATACAGGTCTACACAAGCGAGCAAGATTCAAAACTGAATCGAACTTTTCTGAGCGGAGCAATTGGATCACGAAGGGTTCTGCGCTCTTCATGCCCATTTGCCCAGCAAGGACATGATTCCAGCACCGAAAAGTACACACGCTAGGCTGAAGCACACTTTTTTCACGTCTCTATCTGGTTTTTGGTAAAATAAGAAATCACGAGCTAGCAGCTCGACCAATCCCGTGTAGATGAGAATGCCTGCGGAGATGGCATCCAGAACTCCTGAGACGACGTTGACAGTATAAGAATTCCCGTCGTATGTGGTTCTCACTCCCAGTCCAATGGCAATGCTTATGGGGGTCGTGATACCGTACGCCACACATAGTGCATAAGGCCACCACCTCTTTTCTAGGGGAAACTGAATTGCAGAAAGTCTGGCACCAATTCCCAAACCTTCGAAAGACTGATGGAAAACCAAAACAGCGTATAGAGTTGGGAAATTGTCACCGGTGGTCCCGAGGTTCAGACCAATCATGACGGAATGGAAAATGATACCAAACTCCAAAATCAGAAAGGCACTGATCTGGCTCTCAAAAGGTTGTTGGTTGATCTCGGTTTCGGTTTCAGAAACGGTTTCGTCAAAGTAGCTTTTGTTCGATGCGTTGTCCGCACTGATTTGTTCGAGGTCATTGGTGGAGCCCTCATTGCGAACTCTCATGGATCTCGGAAGCACAACGGCATTTTCAATACATTCATTGTCACAGCACGATCCCCAACGGTCTCCGAACTTCTTTTGCACGTAAATACCGCTGAAAAGGTCAACAATGAAGGTCATCATCACGGTGGCCAGTACAAATGCCGGACACCATGAGTAGATGGCCCAATTACCAGTCCCACCCACGCAACTGCTTCCGCCAATCTCGTCGTACGCGGGGTCCAGCAAGTGAATGAACGCAGTGGCTATGATGACTCCTGTACCGAAGTAGCGCGCAAAATAGTAAACGTGACGTGGGATTCTGAGCCATTTCACCTGGGCGGCCACTACCGGGAACAGTGTGAATATGGTCGAAACGAACAAAATCACGAAAACAGATGACAAACGTGATCCAAATTGTCCGTTGTAGTTGTTACCGCCATAAAATACACCTGAGAGAACACAAGTCTTCCAGCTATCCGGCACTGTTTCGTCTCCAATGGTTACGTCGTTGGGACTCCACTCTTTCCACCATGGCGTAGTCATATTGCAGCCTGTTGTCAGCCTTTTTCTTAACAGAAAACGAACATCCTACGGTCGATGTGAGGTGTTTGGCACTTAGTTTTATAGTGGCCCGGTTGAAGATGTACCGTGGTGGTCGTCGAAACCTTTCTAGTACAAAAGGAATTAGACATTTGGAACACGACAAATCACATTGGACTCCCGTTAGCATTTGTGCCAATGATCGTCGGCGTACAAATAGAATCAAAGATTGAGGTACATAAAGGACGTCGTAAAATACAGGTGTGCGATAACCTTGTGGGTACAGACAAGAATTTTAAAAAAGCGCTTCAGCTAGGAAACGCCGGTGACGAGATTTGCGAGGCCGTCAAGATTTGAGCCAAGACTGTTGTCGTGAAGGACAAAGGAGACAGAGTGAGAGCCTGGGCATATGCGCCTGCGAGTATGGAGCTAGTAGCGATGGCGTGAAAAATGAGCATTTCCAAGCAATCTAGGAAAGTCAATATTTCACCATAGTTTGATTATAGAAGAGAGTTTCAAGTTACAGAAGGCTTGGAAGATCTGCGATTCGACGATCGCATACCGTTGTATCATTCATTCATGGGAATTTTCAACCGATCCAGTTATTTTAGTTAACGGGCGAAAGCACGTGATGTTAGTCACACCGTTATACCTCAGCGTCTGTGCGACCTAACAATGTCGTCATAAACTGAATACGTCCAATCTCCTTTGTATCGACTTCATTTTTACAGCAGATCTATTGCCTGCTCTCAATTCGACCTTTTCTCGTCCTCCAAGTTCTAAATGCTAAAAGCCCTTTATGTCATGTGATGATAACTTGAAAGGAAGAACGAATATAAACCTCTTCATGAATGTGTGTCTGAACTTGTATTGCTTGACTAACAATATGAAAGACAAGAATCACCAGACCAATCCCAGATAACTACCCGTGCCATTAAGGGAACAGAAATAAAAGAAAATGACTGGTATTTTATCCAAATCTTCCCTAAAATTGAACTTGAAAAGCCCAATACCTACCGTTAATTTGAGTCAGTGGGACCACCACAAATATATCAATCTAACGACCTTTATATCCTAAATATTCCCAGTGTCAGTGTTTGAAATATCATCGATCTCGACGATTTCGATGGTTTCCGGAAAACGTGTCACTTTCACACGAAAATCCCTAATCTAAAATTTTGCTGAACTTTCCCCATGTTTTAAACCATCTAAGGTAACTCCTCAACGACTGTTTAAACACTCAATTGCAGTCTTTCACAACAATGAAGGATTCAAACAACCCAGGCCAGAACAGTAACAACACATCCAGACACGCTTCCATCGTGGAACTGCTGTCTACGCCGCCAGCTATCGCGCAACAGCCTCAATCAGCAACAGAACTAGAAGCGATCTCCTTATCGCGCAACGCTAGTGCAACATCTCTAGACTCACAAATGAGCTCAACCACTTCGTGTCTCACTAAAGTACATGCTCAGAAATGGCAACACATCCAGCTTTCGCAGCTGATAGAGGAAAACAAGCTCGTTACAGTGGAAGAGTCCGTGTCCGTGGAAGAGGCATTCAACACACTGGTGCGCCATAATCTTACGTCGTTGCCTGTGGAACACGCTTCAAATGACATGAACTGCTTCACGTTCGACTACAACGATCTCAACTCATACCTGTTGCTGGTGCTGAATAAAATCCAAGTGAACGATCCAAAAGTTGCCCGCGACTGTCAAATGGGAAAACCGGTTCCAGTGGGCGAAATCGTCAAGTTGACGCCAAAAAATCAATTCCACAAGCTACGCGAAACCGATAACCTCAGTATGGCCATGGGTATACTTGGGTCTGGTGTCCACAGATTGGCCATCACCGACCTTGAAGGCACTCAAATCAAAGGTATATTGTCACAGAGACGTTTGATCAAATATCTATGGGACAATGCCCGCCAATTCAGCAGCTTGCAACCTCTGCTGAATTCTAGTTTGAGAGATCTCGGGATCGGCGTACTGGACTCGCAAACGGCGCCAACGAGCCGTCAGTCTCGAGTCATATCCATACAGGGTGAAGAACAGCTGATAATGGCGCTTTACAAGATGCATAATGAGCGTATTTCGTCCATCGCTGTGGTAGACAACCACGGAAACTTACTAGGCAACATTAGCGTCACAGACGTGAAACACGTTACTCGTACTTCCCAGTATCCACTCCTGCATAACACATGTCGCCATTTCATTTCGGTCATTCTCAATAGTCGAGGATTGGAAATGGGTAAAGACTCCTTCCCTATTTTCCACGTGTATCCTTCGAGTTCCTTGGCAAGAACGCTCGCTAAACTCGTCGCCACCAAGGCCCATAGACTCTGGATCGTGCAGCCTGAAAACTCTGCGGCTTCGACACCATCCTCCGCCATATCAAGCTCACCACAGTCCACAACTTTGAATGCTCACGCGGGTGCGAACGACCATGAAGTGCCCAACAGAAGCGGCTCCCCAATAAGCGTGAAAAGCTTTGATGAAAACACGGCACAAACCGCTAGCACTCCGTTGTTTGAAAAAGAGTATCGTACTGGGAAACTCATTGGAGTTGTCTCGCTCACGGACATCTTAGGACTTCTGGCAAGGCGGCAAACTGAACACAAGCAGGTTGACCCTCAAGCTGCAAGAAGACAAAGAGGCAGTGTTGCTGTGTAGTTGTGTAGTTGTGTAGTTTCGACCTGTAAGTATTTCGAAAAATTCGAAGCTGCGACAACATTCGCCGGTAAATGTTACCACAACGAAGTTCGCTTTGGAGTCTTCTGTATGATTATTTGATGCAATCTAAAGGGTCTTACGGTTGAGCTAGTGTACGTTGAAGGCATTGCATTAGGTTCCGTCATGTGACTGTTGATCAATTGTCGCCTAGAAAATATACCTGTTCAAATCATCGCGATGAACAACAATTTGGACCCTTCCTGTACTCTCTAAAGGTATCTTTGTATCGCTATGCTGAGGCAATCTGCATTAGTCCCTAGAGCGGCGTGCCGATCAAGATTATATCGTACTGCGGCCCCTCTGGCTAAATCGGTACCAAGATCACTATTGCAACGGCAAGCCAAAAGAAGAGGAGATATAGAATCATCTGCGTCATCGCAGCTCATTGTAACGTCTTTTAAGGATATATTTGCGTTTTTCAATCCGTCAGGTCACTCACAGGAAGATGAAGATACGGAGTTGGCCCAGAACAGGGAAGCGGTCATTGATAGAATAGAGCAAGGCGAACTGCGAAATTTGTACCTGCAAAGGTTTTCAGCGATTCCAATAGCAGCACCAAGTGGATCTAAGGATTTGGTTGGTGATCTAAGGATTCCCACACAAAGCCTGCTGCAAGTTTTTCCACAACTATCACAGCAAGACAGAGAAATGATCGAGGTTTCGCTAACTATGATCCCGCCATCCAAAGACTGGAGGGAAATTTCACCAGTACAAAAGCAAATGTTGTTCTATATGGGTTACGGATCGCATGGTCCTAGGAGTGACCTTACTTTCGAAAGGTCCAAACCCGAGGATTTTACCTGGCAAGGCCGTGCAAAAGTCGGACTTCCAGGCCAAAGGATCCACAGACTACCGAAAACGCAAACTACAGACGTTTGGACATGTACACCGTCAAGAAAAACTTTATTGGATAGTATGACCAGACGGTTAGATCCAGGGACATTGTCAGTGGCGTTGATTGGACTCATTGTTGCAGTGTGTGCAACTTTTAAAGAATATCGGCAACGACAGGATGACGAGGCTGTCGCGGAATTGGCTAAATTTGAAGAGGTCGAAACTCTTAAGGCTTCTGACTAATGAATGGTTAGATCCCCAGTGCATCAAGACTAGTGGTGAGATCCATTGAGACTCCAACGCCACGATTTTTTCCGCTTACGCTATAGTCTATGCAATTCCATGTACAATGCACGACACACAATTTCACTCTTCGTCATTCTCTTCGTCGTCATCATCGTCGTCGTCGTCGTCGTCATCCATATCTTCCAGATCGTCTTCCCACGATTTTTCGACCGTTTCTTTGACTCGTTTTATGTACAAAGGTTTTTGGTTTTTGAAAAGTGTTGCGGCCTCTACATTGGCCGGTGAAGCTGGATTAGGATCGTTGAAGAGACTCTGGATCGATGTCAAAATCGAAGCCACGTCATATGTGGGAGTCCATCTATTCTGCAGAATATCCAAACAAATCTCGCCGTTGGCATACACATTAGGATGGAACATCTCGCTCAGAAATTTGACATGCGGAGGCTTGTTAGGGTATTCTTCGTCAAATTCCAATAGCAAACGGAACGTTCCGTCTTCATACGGTGTCTCTGCTGGTCCAATAATCATCGCGTTCCATACCATCACATTGTCTGGCAATGGAGAAGCGGAAACTCCTGGAGGTGCATCCTCTTTCATACGCTGGGTGTTCAGTTAGTTAGAATTGAATTAAACAGCGGTCAAATAGGATCATATTAGAACTGAAAGCATACCTTAAAGTCTCTCATGAGCCTTCTCCTAGCTGGAGTCGACATTGTATCAAGAAGGGTGTGAACTCAGAAGCAAAGTTCGTTGTGTATCTACGATATCCTTGGTCAAGTTCGTTAAACTCATAGTGAGAATGAGCTTACATATGTAATAAAGCTAATCATCAGGAATCTGACAAGAGAACGAATCACGCGACATTCATCACTTTATGTGTGTCACGTGACAGTTGTGTTAAAACCTCAGGATCGATCAGTTTTGACAGGTTCAAACATTCACCCTTTGAATGAGCTTACCATGCCTCACATCTACCCAACGTTAAACTTTGTCTAGTTGTAATCTGTCTGTGTGGTACATGAGATTTCCGAGCTTCAAAACAGTGTCAGTACCGTACCCATTGATAGAATGGACCGTTAAATCGCCGTTCCAGTATTCTGCATACACCTTGCACATAGCGAGCCCGATTCCCAACTTGTAGCGAGAAGACCTTTCTAAAAGCCCCAAAAGCGGTTTTTCAAATTTGTGGCCGCTGGGGAGGTTGGATGCACTGACAGGCTCTAGAGAAGTGAACTTGTAGGGATGACTGGTGGGCTTTTTTGCATCATCATACATGTAGTCATAAAGTGATATTGTTTGGAGACCCGGAAGCTTGTGGAAGTTGTCTAAAGATTCGCTTGCAAGCTGCTTGGATTTGCCAAAGGACCATATGGTCTTTTCGTCATGCGGGATCCCGCCAGCGCGATCCGAAATGCGGAAAATGAAAGACTGCTCGTTTGAGACTATCGTCACAGTGATTGGTTCTGGATTATCAAGCCCCAGACGTATGTATTCCTTCATAGTGGCCTCGTAGCTATTTCTCAGCACTTCTCCAAGCAGATATTTCAAATGCAAGGGCAGAAAATAAAATTTGAGCTCGAGATTGCCGTCAATCACAAATTTCGGCAGTTTGATGCCTTCGAAATACATGTCCTGAATGAACTTTTCGCACATGGCTTTTGCTCCAAGCAGAAACTCTTGCGCGCTACACTCCTGGAAAATGTCACCCAACACTAACGTATTCTCCTTCTTCCCGCTTTGATAATTGGAAGTCATACTCAAATGTTCCTCTACAATCAGCCTTCTGGAAATACGTGCTCTTAAAAGACTCGAAATAAGCTCGTCCATTTTGTGAGGAGGATACAAATCCAGAATACGACTCTCGAGCGCGCCCATTATGAGATGTGGTAAATTCAGAGAGTTGAAATCCGACAAGATTCCTTGTAGAAACACGGCAAACTTATCGTTGTCGGAAACCGTTTTGACTGTGGGGTACCGTCTGAACCGCTCGAAAATGTTGTAGTACGATTCGTAGACCTGACTGAAATGGAAATTGTTCACCACGTTGAACGGAAGTGTCTGAAGAAGATGAATTTTGTGGGCGATACGAGTGACGAGCTCTTGTTGAACAAATCGGCCACTATTCACAATTTTTTGTTTGGTTAAAGCGTTCGAGTCATCGAAATACTGGGCTAGCTGTGATAACGATACGGGATGCGGTTTTTTCGAGAGATAGTGTTTCTCCAGAATTCCCTTATTTTGATAGTAATGTTGTTGATTCACGTATTTGGATTGCAATGGATATGCACATAGCGTGGGAGAAACATATGGTGCCAGCTCAGCGATAAACTTGGTCGGCGAGTATTTGCTGAAATCCGGAATTTGCGAGATGTGACCAGGATGAGACCCTAGGGAATTTCTCACATGGGATTCGTACCTCACAGTTCTCCATCCCAGTGACCTATAGCTCACTCGAGTCGCAGACTTCACAGTAGTCCCTCCAACATACTCTTGCATTGCTGGAGACTTCACTCTAAATACTTCGGTAAGGCGATGAGGTTAGTCAAGTCTAATAAATTAGTTTGAATCTTCTTGAATCAAGTTCACAGAACTTTCGGAATCTGTCAACAGTGAAAACAACGCCCCGATGAGCGACAATAGTATGCGATATTGACAATAATCACCAACAATCGTCTGAGTCTTTCTCTAAGTTTTTTTACTGACTCCTAAAACCTTATAACTAGTCGATATAAATGCAATGGATAGCACAGCAGTTCCAGTGACAGATAGCACGACAACTGCGAAGAATAAGAGAAAACTGGATGAAACTGATCAGCCTGCAGAAACAGTAGAAGGAATTAAGACGAGGCATAAAAAAGCAGTGAAAGTACCCAATATAGCTTTAGAATTGGCCAAGAATCGAACGACTTCTGCGCCAGGATCCAAACCTCTTTCATCAATCCCGCTTTCATCACTTCTTTCGGGTGATGATTCTGCACATGTCTCAACAGCCGAAGCAAAACAGGGCATATTCACACCCTCTAATTCACGATTAAAAGTATGTTCTTTGCTGTCCTCGGACCAAAACGCTAATAGCGAAACACATCACAGTCCGAAAATCATTCTCCCCACACAAACATCCACACCCAGTACCCCAGGTATGGAATCACCGGGGATGATGGTCGCTAGGACAATCTCTCCAGTCTCATCTTCACCTTTAAGTCAAAATTCAGGCGCAAAACTCAATAGAAGCAATAGCGCACTCAATCCAACCGGCAGCACAACAGGCTCACACTTGGCAACAAAAACTTCTTCCGTACCTGTGATGATTGATCTGTCGGAACAACCAGCCCATGCCAAGTCCAAGATAAAGGGCGCCCCGACAGAAGCTGCCTCTGAGCGGGATACCGCGAAGAATACTGAAAACTTGGATACCTCGAGCGAAGTCCAAGACATACAGCAGCAAATTCTAAAAACTGAAGGAGGCAAAACTTCCGCTCCTGTTACTAAGACTCCACAAGAGGCAATTAATACAGCTACTAAGAAAGTCGTTAGGCGTAAAAAGGCAAAGCCCATTGAGTCTAAGACTGAACCGGAACCTACAAATGTCATTATTGAAGATATGACGAAGGCAAGCGAGCCCATAGCATCTGTTTTGAATCCAGCACCTATCGCTCCTACTAAGGAAGCTACCACTGCAAAAAACAGTCCTGAACGAGAAACTGTCGGTCCTGCCAAAATAACAGACTCTCCAGTTGCCAAAAAAACCACCAAGAATTCAACGAACAAGAAAACCAGCAAAACAACAGCAACTAAGGCTACAGCCGAAAGTAAAGCCTTGGCCAAAACGAATGAAAACGGGAAAGAGAAAAAAGCTGCCGGGTCAGCAGGTTCACAAAGTGGAACAAAAGACGATTCAAAAGCATCGACAGCAAAGAAAGGTGCCAAACTTGCTGCAACTAAACAAAGTCCTAAGGTTGCACTTCCCGCGATGGTAGGTAAAGAAACGGGTGATAAGGAAGAGTTAAAATCCATCAGTTCTAAAGTCGACAATGCACCAGCAAATGCCAAACAGCCGTCCAAGGCACTCGAAGCGTCAAAAGATAAATCTGGCCTCACGGTGCCGAAGGACACTAAAAAAAAGGAGAGCAAAGGCACTGCTAAAGATGATACAAAGAAGGAAACAAAAACAAAACGGACGAGCAATGGGTCGAAAAAGAAGGAAAATACACCACAACCACCAAAAGGTGTAAGTGATTCTAAGGAAGTGTCGACTCCAAAAAGGCTACTTTCTGCCCCACCTATAAAGTCACCGTCGTTATTGGAAGCTCTGGATAAGAATCAAATAACTGACGAACGTGAAGAGCCCGTCATCTTAGTGGATGTGCCGTTATACCCTGCTGAATCTAATGATTACCTGGATGAAAATGGGCAAGTAGTGTTCAACTTTTACAAGTTGGTACAGGACAAATTTGGACAGCCCACCAAAACTAAAAGGAATCTCATATCTGAATTTCAAGGCGGAGACGACGACGATGAGGATGGCGCGGAAGTTGAAGACGATGATGGTATTGAGGAAGAAGACGATGAAGATGTTGATTTGGAAGAGAAGAACTCAAACCCCAATGCTACTAATGCCTCTCCTAAAAAGAAGTCGCACCCAATGAAAGGGAAGAGTTTGATAGGAAAGTATGACACGGAAGATCCCTTTATTGATGATTCTGAACTACTCTGGGAGGAGCAGCGCGTTGCCACCAAAGATGGGTTCTTCGTTTACTTTGGTCCGCTAATAGAACGGGGTCAGTATGCAAGCTTTGAAAGGGTTAACGGGACGATGAAGAGAGGCGGAATTAAGTATTCAAAGTGAATATGGTACTATGTAGTCACGGAACCGTGTGAATGCTATTGAGACAAAAATGATTCAAGGTTCTCATTTGCTAACTTGATGAAATCAATTTCAGGCAAGGATGTTTTTTCCAGGAATCCCACTGTATCATTTGCCGTATCTCGTATTTCAGCCAGTAGAGATCTGTCCCATTTGAGCTTTAAACTAACGAAAAGATTCAAATAAGTCAGGGATAGCACGAGACTTTCTTTCACTGGGGACTTTTTTGCATCCTCGAAACTCATCACAGCTAACGCGTGGATAGTAGCTTTTCTATCCTCGTTGATGATAATGTAAGGCCTGGAAGGCAGTTCAGGTTTCGCAGACTGTTTTGATTCACCGGAAATGCTCAACTTAGAAAGTTGTTCGCTAGTTTCTACCATTGAGCCCCGGGTATTGATCATTAGATCCTTTAAAATGCCTAGAATGCAGCACTTCATGAGGTTTGAAGGACAATTCAACAATGTATCCTTGACAAATTCAAACGCGTCCGATTCTGGTATTAGACACATTGTTCTTGTGAGTAGAGTGAAAGAAGCCATTCTTGGACCATCGGAAGCAATGTTGAAGGATCTCAAAAGCTGGATTTGAAGAAAAGTTGCAACGACATACGACGGCATGGCACCCAAGATTACCCGATTTTCTTGACACGAAGAGGTTGTTACAGCCACCCAAAGCCAATACTGACAGCATTCAATTGCATATAAGTTAGGGGCAGTCTGAGAGTATACTTCTGGTGTGAAAAATCTCAGGAACATGTAAATGGCTTCATCAATCCTAATTTCGGGATACAGAACGTTACCTGTCTCTTGGTAGTGATAAGTTGCTAGAGCAAGTATACCAGCAGGATCTAAAGAAAGGCTCTTTTCTGTTAACTTTTTTTGAACGTTATAAGTGTGCGCAAGCTGATATATTAGCTGAGTGATGCCACTTTTCGCGGCTTCATTGACAATTTCCGATTCTTGGGGTAATGATTGATAGATGGAAACGGATTCCTTAACGCATTGAGTTTTGAAGGCCTCCTTGACATCAATGTCAAACGAGTAGGCGAGATGATAGCATCTCGCGACCATTTCCCGCATATCTTGGCGTAAAACATAGTCGAGAACAGACGTGTCCATGTTCTTTAATTTCATAACGTATTCCGCAGCCGTATGCATTTGTCTGGTCAGTAGCAGTTGGCCTACAGCATTCGTGAGTAAGCATTGAAGGAGTTTGCGTTGGAGAGCATTTTCATCTTCAACCAGATTTTCGAATTCTTCGGGACTCAGCGTTTCTGCAATATTCGGCTGAGCAAGAGGAGGAATGTAATTACGGCAGAACATGTAGACTCGACGTAACACAAAGATACAGTCGTCAATATCAGCAGCGTTACTCTTAATGAAGCTGAGAAAGGACCCTACCGCCGTAGCAAGAAATTTGGACGGGTAGGAGGTTTGAATTCTCTTGATAGTGGTGCTAACAAGTTCCATCAAGGCGTGCAACTTCAATTCCAGGGTAAATTCTTCCGGAGCGCGATCAAGCACATCGATGAAAGCTTGTGTGGCGGCCTTTTCGGTTGCGATTTTCGCTGCATTTTCTGTGCCATCGTAGTCACCGTCTTCAGAAAAGGCCTTGTCTGTATCATCGTCGTCAATATCTTCGTCTCCGTACCCGTCTCCGTCGTCCTCAGTCTCGTCGTCGAATACCTCCTCTTGTTCATCTTCAAGTTCGACGCCTTGCAAACTCAATCCCTCAATAATTTCGCAACCGGCCAAAAAACACTCTTTGGCATTGCCCAACAGTGCAATTTCGTTGAAACACTTGAGCGCAGTTGAGATTACAACGTTTTGCGAAAGACTCAGGTCTCGATCGACATTTTTGGCGTCCAGAAACCTCAGAAGGATCTTGGGCAAATCCCAACCAATCTGTTCAGCAACACGCGAGTTTTTCTTCAAATTGGAAAGAAGAACCTGAAGAAACTGAGCTTTGTCCGTCCTGAAACCTTCATTGATGAAATTCATTGAATAAAGGTCGATAATTGTCACTAAAGATAGGGCGTCATTTTCATACTCGGAAAATGCCAATTCCAGCTTTTTGCAGAGCTCTGGACCGTGCTTCATGGGTTGCAGTAGTGTTTTCTGATCTTTGTGAAGTAGCTTAAGAGCTATGGGGTTTGAAGATAAGTCGTTACCGTTAAGCATGGCGGTGTGATGTTTGATAGCTACGTTTTAATTTGGTGAATTTGGTAGAAGCGATCACGTGCGGTAATGATGCCAGGGGTGTTTTCTCAATCACGTGAGTAAAGCTCAAGGCATTGTGCTTTTGGACGACTTTTGCGCGGCAGATGATAACATTTGAATTCGTTCGTCAGCGAGAATGTAGACGTTTGCGCCCCTTTCATGTGTTCTCTTTCTCAGTGCAACACCTCCAACATTCAATGCCAGCTAGCCCTTTTCCAGTCTTCTTTGGGGATGGCCCAACAATGGTGACCAGTTTGATCATTGCACACGTACAACGCTGTAGCCGCCCATATCATAAATAGTCATGTGTGCATGGAACGGTGCGTAACAGAAAAGAGAAACCATGTTCAGCTGTCCGCTTCTACCCATTCTTCAATCGCTGGTTTCCAGATACCGTTCTTGTCCCATTGCAAAGTGAATTGTGGATTTGTATATAACTTGAACGTTCTTTTCGTTTTTGAGGCATGGCTAACTATTTCCGTACTACACGATCAATATTACGTAATAATTTTGTGTTTAAGTCTCACGTGATAGTCTCGTGACCTCAGTTTGTAGTTCTTAAAATTAAAGGTTAAGCAAGAGAATACCGAGATGGGATGGATTGAGTTAGCCGGTCTTTTTCTTACTAGGTTAGCGAACACACACTCCCCACCACATCTGTTACTCTCTCACACTATCAAACACAGACGATCACATCAATGAGTCAACTCTTGGAAAGCGAGAGTGACGCCGGCTCTTCCAGTAACGTGGAAAGTTCCATTTCACAAGATAACCAATTTACCATGCAAGATGAGCTGGAACAGTATACTAAAAAACTAGATATTTTGGGCTTGGACAATGACTCTGAACCATTGAACAAGGGAACATCCTCAGGAAGCTCTGGAGATCTTCAAGAAAGTAACGGGAATATCATGGCTACAGCCGTACCGAAACGTAGGGCTCCCATGACCACATCTCGAATATTGACACATCTCACGCCAGCAGGGGACGCAGCGATTAAGCACGTGATCGATAAAGAACATGAGCTTTTGCCGACCAAAGTACACATAAAGTTCCAGCCTATCGGTTCAGTGCTACAAGTTTCACCGCAAACCGCACAGATTTCATCTTCCCAGCCATTTTCTGTGCTGGTGACCTATTTGAAGAAAAAATTGAAACTGGCTACTGTGCATTGTTACGTCAACAACTCGTTTTCGCCCGCGCCTCAGCAGGCTATTGGAGATTTGTGGTTACATTTCAAGGTGAAAGACGAATTGATCGTGAGTTACTGCAAGGGAGTCGCTTTTGGCTAGAAATGAGGAGAAGTTATTTCACTCGAGAAATTTGTCAACTGAAACACGGCCGTATTGTTTCTTAGAACCCATTTGAATTGGAAGCTCCTGCATCTTTGAGATCGCTCCACAACTGTCGTGGATTTTCGTTGACTCAGAGCTTCACAGCTTTGATTCCCCTCGTGGATAGCGATTCTTCCCCTCAAGGCAGACGATCGATACATCAATGTTGTTAATTGACCTCATCACTTCCTGTAAATGCACTGAACCCCGGTCAATGTCAATACGATAGAAACGTGTCGTTACTGGCCCATCACTCCTTCTAATACTCCAATGGCGCACCCTCCCAACAAAAACTCGATTACGGATGGTAACGGTCTCGATAATTCGGCTATTAACAAGCTGATACCCGAAATTTTCGATCAAATGCGTTCGAATCTCAGTATAGGGCCATCTGGAAGAAAACTGATAAAACCCTTCGTTTCTGCAGCAGCAACGCCTTCCAGTATGACAGCCCAATCGCTTTTGGAAGAAAGCAAGTGTTTGGACGAAATAATTCCCGTTATTCAGACTTTAGAAGCGTCTTTAAGCTCGGCAGGGCCTCAGCACCTCAAACGAATTCGAGAAACCTGCGAATCCTCAAATAAAGTACTGGATACATGGATAAGAATTCAATCCCAGGCCGGATACGCATACGAACTTATGAGTGAAGAACCATATCTGGATTTCATTACGGCTGCTCAGCAGGATCAAACTTTAACGCCGCAAGCTTTTTTGGAACGGAAACAAGGTCAAGTAACTGAACTGAGGAGAGTCTTGGAAGAAAAGAAGAGCTCTCAGGAAAAGACACAACTCGAGGAAAAACAGCGGCAATTAATCAATAACTCATCAATAAAACGTCCAAAAAGATTCGGCACCACAAATCGCACCCCTGCAACAAGAGGTACCATGAAGAAACCCAGTGGGATTCCAAGAAGCACATCCAGGATAACAAAGTCAAATCCGGGAAGTAGGCCCTCTGCCAACCGTTTTTAACGGTCCCGCAAATAACCTAATATGTAACATTAACAACTGCATTCACGAACGGAACATAAAAACGCTTATAAGATCAACTACTGTACAATTATTAATAACGTAACCTTTCAAAGCGAGATACGCATAGAACTTGGATCAATATGGATTTATTCCTTTGGTGGGACTGAGTCCTCCAATAAAACCAAAAGATCAGAGGCATCCACGTTTTCACCATCCTTCACCATGACGTCCTTCACTTGACCATCGCTTGGAGAAGAAATAACCATTTCCATCTTCATAGCACTTAGAACAGCTACAGGTTGACCCTTCTTAACCAGGGACCCCTTGTGCACCTTCACCTCAATAACAACACCGGCCATTGGGGCACCAACTTGATGAGGGTCGTGGGCGTCAGCCTTTGGCTTCGAAAGAGATTCGATTTTTTGAGACTTGTCAAGAACGGAAACTTTTCTCAATTCACCGTTCAAGTCGAAGTAAACCTCTCTGTAACCAGTTTCTTTGTTCAGCTCACCGATAGCTTGAGGCTTGATAATCAAAGTTTTACCCTTTTCAATGGTGACAACAATTTCCTCACCAACAGTAGGTGGTGACAAGAAATTCTTGGTTGGTAGCACCGACAGATCACCGTAGAGTTCTCTGATTTTACGGAAGTCTTCGTACACCTTTGGATACATGTTGTAGGAAGCAAGGTCGCATTCATCGATGTCACCAAATCTGTCTTGTAGCTCTTCCTTGATCCTAGGCAAGTCGAATGGGCTGAGTTCTAATCCTGGACGGCCTACCAACTTTCTTCTCTTGTTCTTCAAGACATCGCTTCTCAAAGGCTCAGGGAAGCCACCGTAAGGTTGACCAATCAATCCTTCGAAAAAGTCCATAACGGAGTCTGGGAAGTCGAGTGACGAGGCCAAACGTTTAACGTCATCTGGAGTTAGTTTGTTCGAGACCATGAATTGCGCAAGGTCTCCCACAACCTTCGATGTAGGAGTGACCTTAACCAAGTCACCGAGCAAGTAGTTCGCATCTCTGTAAGCCTTTTTAGTTTCAGCCCATCTTTCACCAAGACCCAATTGTTGAGCTTGGAAAAGTAGATTTGTTAATTGACCACCTGGAATTTCGTGAATGTAGACCTCTGGATCTGGGCCTTTGAGGTCGGCCTCGAAACACGAGTACAGCAATCTCATCTGGGCCCAATAGGCGTCGAGCTCACGCACTAGATCAGCATCCACATTAGTCTCAATTTCGCCATCCAAAGATGCAAGCAAGGCATTGATCGATGGTTGGGAAGTCAAACCAGACATAGAGTTGGTAGCAACGTCAACAACGTCAGCACCGGCAAAAGCAGCTGCCGCCATCGAAGCAACAGCAGTACCAGCAGAATCGTGAGTGTGTACGTGGATTGGTAGATCAGGGTACTTGGCTCTAATTGAGCCAATCAACAACTTAGCAGCAGATGGTTTCAAAGTACCGGCCATATCCTTAATGCCCAAGAAATGCGTACCCATGGCAACAATCTTGTCAGTAATCTCGAGGTAGTAGTCTAGATTATATTTCTTTCCAGGCTGGAGCATATCGCCTGAATAACATATCGTGGACTCAACCACTCCGCCAGCCTTCTTGACAGCATCGATACCGACCTTCAATTGCTCCAAATCGTTAAGAGCATCGAAAACTCTAAAGATGTCAACACCGTTCTCCTTAGCTTGTTTAACGAAATGGTCAATTGCATTGTCAGGTAAAGAAGAGTAAGCCACACCATTAGCACCACGTAACAACATTTGAAATGGAATATTGGGAACTAGTTTTCTCAATAGTCTCAAACGTTCCCATGGGTCCTCGTGCAAGAATCTCATAGCAACGTCAAAAGTTGCACCACCCCAACATTCTAAAGCGAAGGCACCTGCCAATGCATGTGCAGTGGATGGAGCAATCGCAGCCAAATCATAGGTACGGACCCTTGTAGCCAGTAGCGATTGATGAGCGTCTCTCCAAGTAGTGTCCATCAATAGCGTACCGTTGAAGGCGCGAACTTGTTTAGCAAAACCGGCAGGACCTTGTTCTAAGAGAACTTGTCTCCAACCAGCAGGAGGTGGAGTCGAAACATCGATAATGTTTCCGCGAGCGTCCCCAAGAACAGGAATGGTTGGTTGAGTGTGCAACTTTGGTAGGCCTACTTGGCCCTTGATAGAAGAGCCGTTCACGACTAGATCCGCTAGGTAGTGCAGCAGCTTTTGAGCACGGTTCTGTGAGGAAACCATCTTGAAAAGCTCAGGAGTGTCATCAATGAAAGTAGTCCAGTAGCTTCCATCGATGAAAACAGGGTTTGTCAACAACGTTAGCAAAAAAGGAATGTTTGTCTTGACGCCTCTGATTCTGAACTCAATTAAGGCACGCAACATTTTGCGACGAACAATCTCGTAAGTTGAACCCGAACAGGAGCATTTGACCAACATAGAGTCATAATGAGGAGAAATGATGGAGCCCGCGTAGGCGTTACCACCATCCAATCTGACGCCGTTACCACCGGCAGAACGGTAGACTTCGATACGACCAGTGTCGGGCTGGAAATTCTTGGCAGGATCTTCAGTTGTGATACGGCACTGAATGGCAAACCCCCTAGTGGTTATTCTGTCTTGCAACAGACCTAGCTGTTGTAAAGAAGCACCAGCTGCAATTTGAATTTGCGCAGCAACAATATCGATACCGGTGATTTCCTCAGTAATAGTGTGTTCGACTTGAATTCTTGGGTTGATCTCGATGAAGTAATGTCTGTTTTGATTGTCGACCAAGAACTCGGCGGTACCAGCATTTACGTAGTTAGCTTCTTTGGCCAATTTGACGGCGTCGGTCAAAATAGCATCGCGCAGTTCCTTAGATAAAGTCTTGGCGGGCGCCACTTCAACAACTTTTTGATGTCTTCTCTGCACGGAACAGTCACGCTCGAACAAGTGAACAACGTTACCGTAACTATCGGCCAAAAGTTGAACTTCGATATGTTTTGGCTTGTCCAAGAATCTTTCGATAAAACAGGTTCCGTTGCCAAAAGATGTTTTGGCTTCTGAAGTGGCACGTTGGAAAGCATCGGAGATATCGTCACCTTCACGGACAACTCTCATACCTCTACCACCACCACCAAAGGCAGCTTTGATGATGACTGGGTATCCGTATTCAGCGACAAAAGCCTGGGCTTCCTCGACGGTTTCGATAGGACCTGGGGTACCTGGAACTGTGGGCACATTGGCGCGTGCTGCAAGGTTTCTGGCCGAAACTTTGTCACCAACAGAGTCAATGATTTGCGAAGAAGGTCCAATCCAGGTGATACCAGCGTCAGTCACTTTCTGAGCAAATTCAGAGTTCTCAGACAAAAACCCGTAACCTGGATGGATGAAGTCCACTGCGTGGTCCTTGGCGATCTGGATGATTTCGTCAATAGCCAAGTATGCACCAACAGGCGTATGTTTGCCTTGTGGCCCCAACATGTAAGCTTCATCGGCCTTTAGACGGTGCATTGAGAGTCTGTCTTCGTGAGAGTAGATGGCCACGGTTTTCATCGACAGCTCGTGCGCCGAACGGAAGATACGAATTGGAATTTCACCTCTGTTAGCTACCAGAAGCTTGTTCTTCTTACCTAAGAGGTTCGAGCTGTCCCTTAGCCCTGCAAGATTCGACATTTTTGGTGTGGTGTGTGGGTGGAGCTTTAGTTTTTGGGCGTGCTTGTCAATTGCAGCGAATTCCCAAGTCAAAGATGTCCTTGATCACCAGCTAGAATGAGGGCGTTGCGTTAATTTCTTGTTATTATTGCAAGCCAAAAAGTCCTCCCGGCGGCCGTATTGATCTTCTTTCTTGGTCCAAGGTTGCTCGTCAAGGTTCTTCAACCTTTCCACGCTGATGGGAAAAAGCTAATAAATGTCTTGCCCTTTATATACTTGAGGCGGCGGCCCCAGCTCGTCTGAGGTTACCACGTTTTGACCAATCACAGGGCATTTCGCACTTCTTCATAATCATCGATGGATGACTCGATTACGTTCCAAGCGTGACAGTGTGCACGCGCTCATATGACGGCGTGCGTTGTGGCGGGAAGTTTTTTCCAGCGGGTTTGACGGCACTTCGATGGTTTTTCGAATAAGCTTATCAGTGGCTCGTCAAAGTTTGCATCAAAGTACTACTGGGCTTGCCACAGATTTGAAGTAAGGGCTTGCATTGTGCGCGGAGAGTAAGGGTGGGCCACACATTGACGTCTGCATGTACGTGCATTATCATGCGAACGTCACCGGTTGTATGAGTAATTTTTCATAGTCGTATGGCACGAACGATCAGCTCGAAAATCAAGTCGATGAACGCCTGGATGACGGCGGTTCCGAGCATTTTGCACGCGTGATGGAATGTGACATATCAGGTAACAGGACTGAGAGGGAATAAGAGACTCATCGCTAGAGTTCCTCTTTGCTGCCGCCTTCGTGTTTATTCAGCATTGTGCTCTTCGATCTAGCTACTCCAACGCTCGACCATCTCGTTCATCCACTGTCCTCCCTGGCTCTGCAACACTTTGGGCAAGTCCTCCACACCCTCCAGCAGTCCATCTTCGTTTACCGTGGCTGACGCCAGAAACCCGTTCAGCAATTTGAGTATGAACAGACAGTTTGGGTACACTATACACTGTGCATACGGCGGCTGGCACCAGTACTCCAAATACTTCAAATACGCCTTGAATTTCGGGTCTCTCCATATTTGTTGCTGACTGAACAAAAATATCACATACGGCACATTAGCGAGACACTGTACAAACTCAAGCTCTACTTCAAAACGTGTGGGCGGTACATCTACTTCTGCTTGATGTTCCAACCCGTTAGCTTTGTCAATGTTGTTCATATCGCCTCGATCTGTCGTTATAATTGCTTATCGATACGAAGGTCTTTGAGGGTAAGCACTTGAGTCGGACTTGAACTCCTCGAGCCGTTGATGCTTGACCTTTCGTCAAGTTCGTTAACCTATAATCGATAAATTGGATGTTGAATTAGTCGAGCGCTTTGTACGAGCACTCATTACCTCGCTTACGATATGTACTTTCATTAGGACACGAATCATATCGAGTGCTAAGCAGCTAAGAAACCTTTTACAAAAGCTGTCAAAGATTCAACAAATTCATTCTTCCCATTGAAACTTCGTCGAGTTTATATATGGTTTCGTCCCTGTACAAAGTATTTCTGTTTTCACTTTGTCCGGTGACATTGATTGTGGGCCACTTTCTGTCATATCACATAGTACTGGAAGTTGACCGAGATGGATGGTTTAACACATTTTTTGTCAAACAGGGCTGGTTCTGGACAAGTCTGGTGGGATGGTGGTGTATGGTGAGATACAGAGGTTTGGGTATTCGTGGTACGTGGAAAAAAACGCTTCTTAGGTACTGTGTGCTGACAGCGTGGTGGTTGGTCTTTACTCAGTCGATATGGTCAGAAGCAGCTCCCATTATGGATCTGGTATTCACCGCTACCGGCGGACGGTGTACGTTTGATCTTTTCGATCCCACAGATTTGGGAACTTGGACAATCAACGATAGATTCCACGATACGTTCTCACGCAGACAGGTAAGCTTTCAAAAAATTTATAAAGCGCTGAAACAAGTCTCCACAAATCCATCCTCGATGCTTCAAAACGCGGTTTCAGAGCTTGAACACTGGATTTCAGAGGGTAAAGAACATCTCTCAAACCTGGAAATGACTCCGCATCAATTTAACACGCTCATTGACGAAGCGTTGCACTCGTGGCGTAAAATCAACTCTTCCAGCGTGTGTAGATCTTTGGGTGGACACTGGAAGGGCGGGCACGATCCCAGTGGTCATATTTTTCTCATCACCCTGATGTGTATGTTTTTGCTGGGAGAGCTCCAAGTCATCGGGAGGAAAGCCCAGCGGAAACTCAAAACAGATCACAACCTGTGGAGCTCTACGAGAAATTACGGAACCAATATGTTGAAACTTGGGCGTAATCTTCTCAATTTGTCCCGTGGGACTGTCACTGGTAAGGAGCTGTTGAAGAAGCTTGCCTTGATTCCTTTTCAAATCATTGAACAGCAAGTGAAGCTGATAGGCGTTTCTGTGAAATTCGTTTTATGGGATAATCCTATTCTCGCCCTCGTTTTTCTAACCTTCATGTGGTGGTGGAGTTTTCTCGTCACAACAATTGCATTCCACACGCTTCCTGAGCAGATCAGCGGCCTACTATGCGCGTATGTTGTAGCAGCAATCGTTTATTGGAAACTTGCATAAAAGTCCACGCAACCTAACATAAAACCCATGTATATATCTAACGACACTGCCATGAAGATTGAGGCAATCTCTGTAATTGTTGGGCTCTTCTCTTGATGAAACCAAAATACAGCAGACAACCCACAGTGATGCAAAAGATGTTGGTGACAAAGTACCCGTCTTTTATAGTCAACCATTCGCCGCCCGCCGCGATGCAGCGCTCCTCTTCCGTTGCGTTTGCTATTTTATTCGAATAGCGACAGGCGTGCTTCGTGAATCGATCGATCATAAATAAGATCAAAAGCCGCGGCCACGTCCCGCCCAAATTGCTCAAAGTGTTAAGCAATGTCATGTACGTTCCCCCGATTGCAGGGTCTGCGATCTGCGTGTGAAAAGCGCAGATTCCAACAAACTGAACAGTAGACATAAATGAGCCGAGTAGGTGCTGAACTATAACCATGAAAAAATATCCATGAGTGATATTGCCATCAGCGGGGAAGTACGCGATCAACACGTTGGCCAAAAATGCAGCTGTGAGCCTTCCAAGAAAGCCCCATAACCACGGCGTCAATGTGCCCGGCTCCCCAACCAAGAATTTTACTACCTTATTCGTTGTCATTGGCGCTTTTTTTTCGTAGGCAACGTTAGCGCTCCATTTGGCAACGTAGTAGCCAAAAATGATTTCAAATGGAAAATCAATTAAAACAGTAACAGCAAGGTCTTCTCTTTTGAAACCACGTTCCAGCAACTTCAAATTTGTGGCGCCCTCGTTGCACTGAAAGGCTAACTTGCTGACGAGATGAATAGCCATGAGTGACTGCACGCTCGGGAGTTTTAAAACTTTGAAAAATGAACGATACACGCCTGACAAGCTAGTGTGAGCGGGATTTGTATCATAGTTGTAGTCAATGAAATCGTCAACCTTCTCGTCATTCTTTTTCGTCGGTAGCGCTGGAGCATCTGTGGGGTTTTCGGTGGTGAAAAATAGAAGGTAAACTGTCACAAACAGATACAAGGCACCCGAAAATTTGAGATATCCACTAAGACTTATTATTCCGTGGTCCTTAGGAATGGCTCGTATGTATCTGTTCATGAAATCAGCGGAATTGAAAGCCAGAAATATCGTGAAGGACATGAAGTAGCCAGTGTTCAGGCCCACAGTTTGGGCAGTAGACGCATATGAGAGTGATTCCTTTGACAAAATCTCCAGGGCCCACCCATCAACTGCTATATCTTGAGTTGCGCATAGTGCGATCAAACTGAGAAAACATATGGTCAAAGTAGAGATGCTCAATTCTGAAGATGCTGTATTTGACGAAGACGCATTTACACCATGGTATGCATCATCCACTCCCGAAAAAACCATGTTTTTTGAAATTGCTGTACCCAAGATCCACAGAATGATACCGCTCAAAAATTGGACTGGAATGATCCATGACCGCCGCCGACCGGTTTTCCGGCTATAGATAGAATCCACGATAGGCGACCACAGAATCTTCATGGAGTATGGATATGTGGCCATTGTGAAAACCCCTAATTGAGTGAAGGTTGTTCCTTTAGCCATTGACTTCAACAGAAAAGGGACCGTTCCAAAAGTTAACCCAACGGGCACGCCTTGTAGAAAATAGAGAAGCACCAGTAACAGAAACGGTTTGACATCGTGCTTTGCCAATTGGTGTGGTACTCCGCTCATTGGCTGGTGCTTGCAGAGCGCTAGAGAACAATTCTGGGGTGAATTGGCATTTATAACAAAGGCCATCCATCTCATCCTTTGACAACCGGTTGAGAATTGTAATGCTAGTTAATTACGTATTTAATGATAACATTTGAAGATCACATGGCCATTTTGAGTGACATTGACGTACAGTGTGATTTTAAACGAAATGTCACATTTAACTTTGACACCATCGAGATAGCTTTGACGGCTGAAACCATGGAGAGCTCTGATGTATTCTGCTTCTTTTTATGGCGATCAGCAGCTTTGATAACTACTTTGGGAATTCTTGAATGCTCGGATTCTGACAATTCCGGGATTGTCAAAATATTGGTGCATTGAAATTCATGGGAACTGCAAGTAGCACACCCTTACCTGGTCACTCACATCTTCACCGCTCTAGTTGAAAAAAAGAAAACCAAGTGCTCCTCAGAAGTGGTATATCAATCGAATTGACGTGAAGGGCCTCTTTCAGTTTTACTTTATAGGTATTTACTTGTATTCTCTAATAGATCGCATCAACGGAAGAAAAGCATTTTGTTGTAAATTAACGAATGATGCTAGTTTCGACAAAGTTCATGATAACTTCGAACGTTGACAATGATCGTCTAAGCTTCTGTGCTTCCCTTGCTTTCCACTATCTCCTTTGCTATACTGCTGGCTAATGTTCTTGGATTCGACATAGACATATAATGTAACCCAATTATTGGAAAAAATCACGACCATTGACGACCTATATTAATATTGGCACTCCAGGAGCGCCCTATATGGAATGCTGTAACTTCGTCTATTCATTTTTGACTCTCTCCTTTCAATAATGAAATGTTCCAGACGAATGAAAACACATAGATCCAAATAATTTGGACGTAATCTGACAACCATTTTTCGGACTTTGATTTGGTGGGAATATATTGATCAGTCTGCCCGAATCACGAAGCCTCTCTCCTTGAATCGTGATTGCGCTGTCTGACGTTAAATGCTGCGGCTTGTTTGAGGTGATTGCTCTATTTTCTTGAGTTCCCGTTGCTCTCTCCAAAGCAACGAGAATGCAGAAATAGGACGATCCCTCGGTGCGTGAACTCAAAGGAAAGGGAAGGATGGGTCACGTAATAGAGTGGGCTTGAATATCTCTTGCTTTTAAAAAAGACGGCTTCGATAACCATATTGGTGATTGTGCGGTTGCTGGCTTCCAAAAACTCAACCTACATGACAGTGCGATGAGGAAAAATGGAAATTCCGGTATCATTCCGTTCTGTTTGTTGTTGTTCAATTGGAAACCATTTTTATAACATCTGGGGATCGCTTATTCAACGGATAGAACCTTTTTGACGGCGGAAGCAATCACGTCAGGGTCTGGGAAGGCAAAGTCCTCCAATTCCTTGGCATAAGGAGTTGGAACATCGGCACCAGTGACTCTTTGCACTGGGGCGTCAAGGTAGTCGAAGGCTTCCGACTCCATGATTTGGGCCACAATTTCGGAACCAACACCAAAGTTAGGGAAAGTAGATTCAACGGTGATCAAGTGGTTGGTCTTCTTGACAGATTTGACGATGGTGTCAACGTCCATAGGTCTAATAGAGCGCAAGTTGATCACTTCTGCGGAGATACCGTGTTGCTTCTCCAAAGTTTCAGCGGCCTGTAGGGAAAATTGAACATTTCTGGTGTAGGTGATAATGGAAATGTCAGTACCTTCACGTTCGACTTTGGCGGTGTAGGGCAAAGTGAAGTCAGTGGACAAACACTCCTCGGAAACTTCGAAAGATTCACCGTACAAGAGCTCGTTTTCCAAGAAAACGACAGGGTTGGGGTCTCTAATGGCGGCCTTCAACAAACCACGGGCATCTTCGGCAGAGTAAGGCACCAAGACCTTCATACCTGGAATCGAACCGTACCAGGCAGAGAAGTCCTGAGAGTGCTGGGCACCGACACCGACGGCAGCACCGTTGGGACCTCTAAAGACGATCTGGCACTTCTGGGTACCACCAGACATGTAGTATGTCTTAGCAGCAGAGTTGACAACTTGGTCGATGGCTTGCATCGAAAAGTTGAAAGACATGAATTCCACGATGGGCTTTAGACCCTTGAGCGCAGCGCCCACAGACAAACCGGTGAACCCCATTTCAGTGATAGGAGTGTCCACAACACGACGTTCACCAAAACGGTCCAACAAACCCTTGGTCACTTTGTACGCACCGTTGTACTGGGCCACTTCTTCACCAATGATGAACACATCGTCATCACGGTCCATTTCTTCGGCCATAGCGCTGTTCAATGCATCTCTAACAGTCATTGTCTTGGTGGAGGCCATTCTCAATTGCGAACCAGCAGCTGAGAGCCCTTGGCCTACGATTGTTCTGCTGCTTGCAGGCAGCCTCATCATCTGTTTTGCTCCGCCAAAAAGGCCGACAGGAACTTTGAAAACCATTTTCGTCTTGGAAAACCGGAATTAAGAGAGAGAGAGAGATCTGCGGTTTTTTAGCTGTCCAAAAAACCACGTCAGTAAGTGCACCTTCTTTCCTTTAAGTTACAGTGTTCAAATCTAAGTTCCTTCAGGAAAATTTGAAATCTTTCACGTAATAGACAGGTCCCTTTTATATAGTCGTGAACTTCAACTCACGTAAAGAGAGATATAGGGACAGACAAAGAAAATGATGGGGTCGAGTTTTGAGAGAGAAAAAAAGAGGTCACATGACTGCATTTTTAGGCGACCAATCACAGCGTTTAAGATAGCGTGATAAGCATGTGACATAAACAATGGGCTATAACCACGTGATTATGGATATATGATCATAGTATACGCAAGTAACGTGACCTCGAGAGGACAGTTTAAGACACATGGGGAGGAAGGTGACAACAACAAATCAAGCCACGACATATTTGAGCTCCCATGTCTCAACGAGCTTTGCGCTGTTTTACTACGTCTTTGTAATCTCTTGTTTTTCCTTGCTTACAGTTTACTCTTCCCCGCAAAAACTTCAGCAATGATTCTGCGCTGAATTTTGCCTGTAGCCGTCTTGGGCAACTTGTCGACAAAGAAAACGCGGGTGGGAATCTTGAAAGAGGCCACACTTTTGCGCATGTAGTCTGCCAAACCCGAATAGTCGAGCTTTTGTCCAGGTTTCAGGACAATCGCCGCGTTGACTACTTGTCCGTATTTTTCATCAGCAACACCAAAAGCTACAGCCTCCTCTACCTTTGGATTCGATAACATAACGTTGTCCAATTCGATAGGCGATATTTTCTCGCCCCCACGGTTGATAAGCTCTTTTAGACGTCCTGTGAGCACCAAAAACCCCTCTGCGTCAAAATAGCCCTGGTCACCGGTGCGGAAATAGTTCTCACGCTGTGTGAAATTTTCACGGTTGGCCTTCTCGTTGTGGGCATAGCCGAGTGTGACGTTCTCGCCACGAATCGAGACTTCACCTTGCGAGCCTTGCGGCAATACATTATCCTTGTCATCCAAAATGTACACTTTAACACCTTGAGGCTGGCCAACCGTGCTGGGCTTTCTTTTGCCGGGGGGTAAGTTGTTAGAGGTCATTTGGTGCGATGCCTCTGTCATCGCATAGGCCTCGAGAACAGGCGCCTGAAATGCATTCTCGAGCTTGTGGAAAGTGGATGTCGCCAGCGCAGACGAGCACGACCGGATAAACCTGATCTTGGGCAAAGGTTCCGGTTTGCGCGTGTTGAGCAAAATCATACTGATTGTGGGGACGCAACTGAACCAATTACACTTCCAGGTGGTGAAATCGGTCCAGAACTGCTTGGCACTGAATTTGGCCGGCACCACCACAGAGCCTTGTGCCCAGAATGTGGAAAGCAAGACACCAATCAACCCGTGCACATGGAACAATGGCATGACGACGTACGAGCGGTCTTCACTGGTTAAATTGTAGGTTGCAGCGATATTAAGCATGCTTCTAACGATGTTGAGATGTAACAAAGGAACAGTCTTGGGTGCGGACGTAGTACCGCTGGTGTGAAGCACCAATGCCACATCGGAAGATCTTGCAAATCCTGGGAACAAGTCTTCGTGGTTGACAAAAGCACTCTTGTTAATCGAAGAGTACACTTTTGCGTTGTAACCGTCCTTGGGCGAGTAAACGTCGTATTCCACCCGGAAGCGATCAGCGTTGAACGCCAATTCCACTATAAAACATTCAAACTTGGCTGCAGACTTCACGATCTCGGCCTTTTCCGCTTTGCTGACAGTTCCCTTAGGCACACAAATAACCTTAGTTTTCAGATCATTCAAGTAGAAGTTGAACTCTTCAGCCCTATAATTTGGATTTAGAGGAGCTCCGATCTTGGCATCTGTAGTCGACGCCAGAAAGGCCGCAATAAACTCAAGTCCATTCGGCATTGAAATCGCAATTGCAGATTGACGACCCACCACATCGAAGAGAGGAGAGTCTGCTGAATGGAACAGCGTTTGCAGATGTCCTGTAATATGGGACAAGTCTCGATAAGTGACTTGTGCACCTGTATCTGGGATGATCACGGCAACATTATCAGATACCTTGAGACTTTCGTTGAACGAAGCGACGCCTGTAACTTTATTCACCATTGTAATTTATCAATGCGAGCCTTGGTCCCAACTAGATGCCGACATTTGGAAAGCAGCTAGCGATGTGCTGTCTAGCAGTAATTGCTGTCCATTATATACTTTCAGATTAGAGTCAGGTGCTAATTGTCGCAATGCGATTCTTAAGGCAACCGGCGTCCTTTCAGCTGCGGATATCATCTCTGATGTCTCTGACGTTTTCATCACGAGATATGGCATGAATAACGATTTCAGTCAAGCTGTTGTTGGCAGATAACATCTTCACTCACCGATCTGAACGATATCATAAAGTCTTCCGTCTTGCCGGTCTGAGGTAATCAAAAGTTCTTGACGTGAAGAGATAGACGTCATTTTCGAAGAGCTCTGATTCAAATCTGTGTTTCTCACCCATTCGTAGAATGAAGCTGCTCTGAGTGAACTAAATTCTGTACCTGGCAAATAGGCGGCCATGGCTTTTCCTCATACTAATCATATTATGCTACTAGTGAGTTGAATTTGAAGCAAATACTGTAGCATGTCCTGGGAAAAAGACAGATTTTCTTTGAATAACTGACTTGAGCGGGCGTTATCGAACAGGATAGAAAACGTATTTGCATTGCCATATAGAGCAGCTCATTCATTCATCCATTTCAATCTTGTGCTGGCCTTATGTTGGTCAGACACAATTGTCAGTCACGGAAGTATGAAGTGACAACTTCAGCTCGTAGTAGCGGCAAAAAAGTAAAACCTCGACGTCAAGTGCTCTATTACACGGTGCATGTCCTGGGATCTATCGTCAGCGCGGTAACCTTTCAATCCTCGCCCATGGCCCTTTAGGCTTGTGGTTCGTGGCAATTCCCTAGCGTGTCAGGCTCTTCATAAGCGGTGGAAATACAGAACGAGTCGTCCTTATTACTGTAGGGAACTGTAACGTTTTCAAAGGGGACCATAACGCTTATTTTCTTTCTATCGTTTGATATAACCTCTGTCAGTGAGCGTCCGGCACCATTGAACTTACTGTACGCCAGATTAGCGGCACTTTCAATAACGATCTTGACTTGCTTGGTAGATTTGAATAAAACGCCCACTTCGTAGTTTCGCGGTTTTGAAGTGTACGTGCCCCATGCATTCATGCTCAAATTACCGGTTGTGAATAGCACCCAATCCATTTCGTCAAGGATTGTACCTTCTGCATTGACTGTGGTGGCTTTCATCAAAAACTTGGTATGAGCTGGTGTTCCTTTCCTGACGTAGTCCACTGGAGGGTTGCGTTTGTACAAAATGCCCCATTTCTTCAACTTTTGGTACAATTCCCGACTTGCGTCATTCCGCCTCCAGTGATAGTGGAACCAGCCGCCCGCCATGTAACCCATCGGGCCCGTTCTTACTTCTTCGGATGTTGGGTACACAATGCGCGGCTTGATCTGATTAATTTCTAGCCACTTTTCATAGTCTGGTATGTCAAAGGGCTTGGTGCCGCGCTTGGTACCGGTATCTGGCTTTATCAAGCCAGAAAAGAGCGGGATCATGTAATGAAGAAAAAGGTTCCCTGGAGACCTAAGCCCACTTTTTATAGGTGAGCCTATGGTCGAGACTTGAGCTAGGTAATGGTGTGTTTTATCTTTATCCTCTGTAGTGTGGTGTTTGTCTTGCAATAAACGACTGAGAAGGGGCAGTCCAGAAGATGCGATATCAGGGTGCGAGTAAACAAACTGTAAGCCCAGTGCGTCGACAGGAAGAAAATCCACTTGTTCCAAAGCTTCGATGAGAGGTTTAAAATCAGCACGATAGCCTTGTAGATATTCAGAAAGCGCAGTTCGAAATACGGAGGGACGTGACCCTGAGGAGAATTTTTTGAGCAACGGACTGCACCATACAATCTGCGTAGGGATGTTCGTTTCTGCTGAAGTGAAGTTATTGGAAGGAATATAAATTTGGCAGTCGCCATTGTCGAACTGGTTCACCACCAACTTAGAGTGATGACACGCATAAGGTGGCATGTTTACGAGCGAGGTTTCCATGTTTCGCACCAGTTTTAAGATACGGGGTGTTTGTAACGTGGCCGGTAAAATCGTGCCTCTTTGGGCCACTATGGTTATGCGAGTGTTCTCTGCGAACATTGGCAGGATGTAGTCCAATTCGAATTGAAAGCTAAAAAGCCAGCTTCTAGCCAATTTCGGGGCACCAAAAATTGATTCTAGGGAAACGAAGTGCTCTGAGCTTGTCCCTTGGTCGTATATCTCGGACTTCATCAATTTGAAAGGATAGTTAGTGGTAGGAACCGAAGAAATATCATCGGACCTTTTGTGCTCCTCCCTGGTGGTTGTTGTTTCTCCCAAAACGTCCTGCTCTTCATTTTGGGATATATCTGTCTCTGAAGTGTCCGCGCCGTCACTTTCCTTCTCACTCGTCAGATCAATCACTTCTGTATTAGCATCTCCTGCGTTTCTGGGAGTTCCTTGATTGTTTTCGGTTTTGGACTTTTTTGGGTGCTCCAGATTCCCCCAGTGTTCTCTAACACGCTTTCTAACATCAGAGGGTGGCTCTTGATTCGACATGCTCCTCAAAGAGGCTGTTTGTTTCTTCTTCAAATAGTTTGATTGTAGCGGTTCAAAATTAACTTGATGACAGCCACCCTGATTGATAGTAAACGCATGAAATTTAGCAGAAGCGCGTTTGAACTAGCGAGAAGGCTTGCCAGTACAAATCGAATGAGTGTCAAGAGATTTTCCTAGATCAATAATGATTGTACCAGTTTTTTTGTGCACCAATTTTGGCCTACTGGAATGGCCTCAAGCTGAAAGACAGAGCACAAGTTTGAAGAAGAAAGATACGAAATGACAGTTGATTCTCCTGAAAGAGTAGAAGTTAGGGAATAGGGATATTTTAGACGGGTGAAGAAGAGGGATGTTGAGATCAAATGATTTCAGAACTCATTTTGCGTTCGAAGTTTTATTTTGAATAGCCGCCCATGTGAACGCGTAAAACTAGTCATTGATTCTCTCATTGATAACTTTATGCCAAGAAAAGCTGTTAGCAAAAGTTGTGTTTGTTCTGTATAATCTTGGTGGCAAAGGGTCTGTTTCTGGTAGACTACAGGGGCCATGAGCCATGGTGAGAAATGATTTTGAGCAACGTTCTTGATAGGAAGCTGAAAAAAACTATGAAACAGATGTCATGACTAGTTCGATCAGACTATCGAGAATCTATGGGCCGCTCTTTACGACTTGAGCAAGATTTGGCCGGTTCGAGCCACGTCTTTTTTTTCACGCAAGCATTGGTATTGTTACGAAGAGATACAAAAGGATTTGAATTGGTTAGAAAAGGCCGCATTTACTCGCGGTTCCATCCCTCAGGACGATGATCTCCAAGTTTGTTACCAATATGTACTACAAGACACATTCATCGAGCCTCAGCGAATTTATCAGGTTTTGATATTTTCACGACAGGTCATTGACTTGCCACTTAAAAACGCCCAAATTCCATGGACTCACTTAGCCACTAATCCCTCTTTGAAGAAAGGCACGTCTATGGATCACACACGCGCGTTTGTTAGATCTTAACAGCCTTTTTCATGTTCAAAAGTTGTTTATCGATCTTCTTCAAATGGTAGCAAAAGTTGGGATGCTCGAAGCTCATTCCAAAGCTTCGCTCCTACTGGCTAGTGGTCCACAATTTTACACACAGTGGTTCCCACACGTACCGTTGGCGGGTGTAAGCACATCCTTGTGCGTTCATGCCACTCTCACGTGAGGATTACTACCCTGAGCTCAAGTAATCACTGCTAATATCACCTTCAGTCAACAGTGGCTTTAAAGGCGGGCATAACACCGACCTCCAGAAGAGTACTCGGTGAAATTCACATGGGCTGGCTATATAAACGAAACGGCTATCATAAGAACGGCTGGGCGGATTTCAAGCGCTAAAGAACCTCATAGCTCGTGGCGAACTAAGGAATTATCTTCTGACAGAAAGCAGTGACAACCCTGAACATTCTGTTCTTGTTTGATAGACAAACGCAATCGTATTCGAAGGTTTCCACTATAACTTGGTGTGATCCGCATAGGCCGGAACAAATTCAAGCCAAGAGCCAAGATCAGATCAAGAAGAAAGCCAAAGTATCTAGTGTCGAAATTCGAGCTTATAACCCAAGATGAGAGTATCCGAGAAATTACAGAAGAATCTGGATTCTGCTGAAAAGTCGAAAGCCACTTTCTCTTTCGAGTTTTTCGTTCCAAAAACTTCGCAAGGTGTCCAAAACTTGTACGACAGGATGGACAGAATGTACCAGACTCGTCCTCAATTTATCGATATAACTTGGAATGCAGGAGGTAAACTGTCGCAACTGTCAACAGATCTGGTGTCAACCGCTCAATCCGTGCTGGGTCTTGAGACCTGCATGCACCTAACTTGTACGAACATGCCAGTAGAGCTGATTGATGACGCACTTGCCAAAGCGTACGAATCTGGCTGTCAAAACATTCTGGCCTTGAGAGGTGATCCACCTGTGACCACGGGCGAGTGGAAACAGTGCGAAGGTGGATTTGCCTACGCCAAGGATCTGGTGAAATATATCCGGGAAACATATGGTGACCATTTTGATATCGGTGTTGCTGGATACCCTGAGGGCCATCCTGAAGAAGAAGCCACCCCACAGCTGATTGACTTCTTGAAAGAAAAGGTGGACGCAGGTGCCAATTTCATCATCACGCAAATGTTCTACGATGCTGACATTTTCATCGACTGGTGTCGTCAACTCCGCGAAGTCGGTATCGACGTTCCGATCATTCCTGGAATTATGCCCATCACTACGTATGCCGCTTTCTTGCGTAGAGCAAACTGGTGCCAGATCCACATCCCAGACGAGTTCCAAGCCGCATTAGACCCTGTCAAGGAGGACGACCAGGCCGTCCGTGAAGTCGGTACCAAGCTGCTTGCAGCAATGTGTCAAAAGCTGCTGGATAGTGGCTATGTGACGCATTTGCACATGTACACCATGAACCTGGAAAAAGCGTCATTGATGATTTTAGACAGACTAGGGCTTCTAGCCGAGGAAGAGGACATTTTCAGGGATGAAGTGGTACCTATGCCTTGGAGAAAATCTCTGCATCCACAACGTAAAAATGAGTCGGTGCGTCCTATTTTTTGGCAAAGAAGACCATATTCGTATGTGGCACGTACCTCAGAATGGTCTGCGGACGAATTTCCTAATGGTAGATTTGGGGATTCTTCCTCGCCAGCTTTTGGTGACCTGGATTTGTTGGGATCGAGTTTGATCAGACAATCGCCCCAGCGTGCTTTGGAACTGTGGGCTACTCCAAAAACAATCACTGATATCTCCAATTTGGTTATCGGCTACTTGCAAGGTAAGATAAAGTGTCTACCATGGTGTGACGTGGCTTTGAACCACGAGGTCGATTCCATCATGCCAGAGCTGTTGGATTTGAACAAACACCAGATTGTGACCTTGAACTCCCAACCTCGCGTCAACGGCATAGACTCAAGCGATAGCGTTTTTGGCTGGGGTCCCAAAAATGGGTACGTTTTCCAAAAAGAGTACTTGGAGTTTTTGCTGCCCAAGTCCAAACTATCGCAGTTCATCGACCTCATCGGCAATGGCACTAGCCTAACCTACTTCGCCGTTGATGCCGCGGACAAGCTATACTCCAATCATCCTGACGATACTGCTGCCAACGCTGTCACATGGGGCATCTTTCCTGGCCGCGAAGTGCTGCAACCCACAATTGTGGAAAAAGTGTCGTTTTTGGCGTGGAAGGAAGAGTTCTTCCACATCTTAGAGGAATGGCGACTAATCTTAAGCCAGGACGGCCACAATGACAGCGCTACGCTTCTCGACACCCTCACCAGCGATTATGCTTTGGTGAACATCGTCGATAACGATTTCGTGACTCCGGGCGATCGTATTCACGATCACCTCAAGAGTCTGTACTGATTGACCTGGCTGTCGGGGAATACTTCACCACTTCCGAGCGTCAATTTTTCTTCTACTCCGCATTGCCGCGGGTCTGCTTTCTCAACCAAGCAATTCGACTTTTTTAGCGGCACTTTTCGTTTTCTTTCTGCATTCAACATGGGATTTAATAGAACTGGGTTCAAACTTAACAAAATCAACACAACTTAGCAAACAAACAAGCAAAAACCAAGCGCAGCACAACTGTCGCGACGACGCATTATCAATCAACGTCCGTGTACCGTGTTCAAGGCTACCTGTACAGATTTAAGCACAACTCGTACGTTATTTTTACAGTAAAAAAAAAAAGACTTATATATGTGTCAATCATTACTTCTTATACAGCTGCTTTAAGCCATCTGCTTTGGGAGCATTCAAAAGGTCGGATGTTGAGCGATTTGGCTTATTCGATTCACTCTTCTTTAATTAAGCCGTTTATTCTATGCATTACGCTATATGCATCGAACCCCCGGTCTTTCCGTCGAAAGTGATGGAATTAATTTTAGATTTGGTGAAAAGGTTCAACAGCGCAAACCGTTGATGTTGTAATAGAACTGGATGATGAACTTGAGCAATCAAAGGCTTGAGAGAGGAATAACTGAGTCTACGTTACACCGTGGTGAGTTTTTTGAGTTTTTGGGGTAATTCCTGAGTTTCCAAGCATCAAATTTGAGCTATTTTTGACTGTTTTTTTGGCACAAATCAAAAGAAAGGGCTTTTTATATCTCATAAGAAAGAGATTTTAGCCTGTGGCTACGACTATCGATGGAGAGCATAAGGCTTCATTGGAAAGCAGGTGTAGATGCACCGAGACGAGTTAGCCGTGGGTTTGCACCGGCAGGAAAAAATACGAGCTCAGAGAATCCAGGAACGTCAGCATCGCTATTACCAAAGACAGATCTTGGCAATAACAATAAAGATACGAAATCTTCATCCTGGGGGTCTTCGATTTCGACCATAACGGAGGAGCTTCCAAGTGCTGATGTGCCAGAAGCCATGACCAGAGTACCGTCTGCGTCGAGCGCTTCCCGAGTACCGTATTGCTCTACCTCCGTGGGATCGTCGCTTTCTTCGTCTTCGAAAAAGGACAACAGCATGACTGAGGGCGCCAGATTTTGGAATACGTTGCCGCGGGCCGGCGAAACATTACATCTTCGAAAACATTCCATGAACGTGGCAATCCACACCGTCAACGGCACACCAAAGCAAATTGTGTACGACCCACGCCATAATCCACTATGCCCTAAACTTGAGATTTTTTACATGTTCAACGCACAGTCGCCACCTTTGGATGCTTACACACATGCAAAATTGAGACTAGAGTCCTTTGTCAAGTTTTTGGACACATATCATAACTCCAGGAAATTTGCTTCTGCGTGTCTACCCTTCAATGTGACGATAGCGCATAACAGTTCCTCGAGCGGATACCCTTCTTATACTTCAGGCGTATCGTACCATGAGGTCGGGGAAGTACTGCAACTCTGGTATCTGCAAGCTTTAAAGTTCTTGCTAGACAAGAATTCGTTTTTGTTTTCTAGCGAAACTGTGGAATACTTGATCAATTCTTATCCCAGAAGAATGGCCTCCATCAAAAATGACTATAGGTTGAAACAAGCACCCGAGAGTGCTTTGGAAGAAACAATCACCAGGGCGGATATTTTACTAGTACGATGCTCGTTGGAAGAGGAGTTCGGATGGCAACTTGCCTTAGATGAGCCTAACTGGAACGTAGTGGATCTGTTTGTAGACTTTTCACGTCTTCGCAAACCTTCTTTTGATACCGGACAGGAGAAACACTCAGATGATGATGATCACACTGTTGATGCTATGGATGGGTCAAATCTTTTTTCAAGCCCTTCTGAAAGCTCTATTTCCAGCGCAGCCAGCAACGATTCGGCACGGAATTCCTCTTTAAATAAAGATGATGAGGAACCAAGCATAGATGACGTTAGTCCCACTGCTAAAGACTCAAAATCCATGACTGGGACGACGCAAGGGACTGAAGACGGCGTTATCAGAGTGCTGGATTGTGTAGGTCGCGATCTGGAGCTGTTGTGGAAAGCAAAGAAACTACCTCAAGAGTATAAAGGAGCCAGTCGCAGTTCGAGCGTTTCGCCCTCCCCAAGTCAAGAAAACGTGCCGGAACAGTCTTCGGTTAACAAAAGTAAATCTGATCAGCAAGGCCTGATAGCGAAAGGTTCATCTGCGCTTGGGTTATCCAATTTTTTCAGAAGAAAGAACTCACATACTGCTGCTGAAAAGGTTGATGCTCCAGTCAGCACTCGCCAATCGTCACCAAGTGAACCGATCAAAATGAATCTAAACATTCAAAATCAGTACCTGGAGGACTACTACTCATCGACGTTGGCGAATTACAGACGAATTGTGCCACCCCACCAAAGTTTATTCACGCGCGCTGATGTTCCAAAGGAGTATATGAACCGCAAAAAAAGTGGGAAGTCGAAAGTAAAGTCCTACCAGGAAGATTTTCTGCGCGTTCGGCTTCCGCTCGAGGACAATTCGTTTCCAGTAGTAATATGTCCTGACATATGGTTCACGGTTGAATTAAAGAGATGGAAAGGTTTTTTGAGCGAAATTTTTAGATGCATCAAACCTGGTGGCTACTTACAGACATCTACCTGCAATTTCTCTCCAGTTAATGACTTCAATGATGTTGAGAACTCATCCGCCCAATTCACTACTAGTGCAGAAATGAGAAAAGTCAAAGATGTGATTCTAATGGGAGCAGCCCAGGCCGGTATTCAGGTGTATCCCATGAGACATCTCGTTCAGGTGCTTAAAAAAGTAGGCTTCATTAATATAAAGCATTCCGTCATCAGTCTCAAAATTGGCGATCTTACTTCTAATATGGGAATGCTGTTCGAGTTTCTGGCACTACGCCAGTTTGACTTTCAGCTTCGAACAAACTTCCTCACGACAAGCACAACACCAGAAGGAACTGACCCCGCATCGTTGCCATTGAGATTTGTCCAGGAACATATGGGCAAGGCGGATGAAAGTGCTGGAGTTTTACGTTTTGTTCTTCTAACTGCCCAAAAGCCAGATGGCCCGATTAACGCTTAATGATAATGTCTATCTATACTATCTAATATTCTTTGCATGGACGATAGAAGTTCACTCATGTCTTTTTTTACCCTGTAGCACGCGGGTGCCCACTCGTCCGTATATTTTGTCCAAAATTAGTCCTTTCTTGGGGTCCTCTTTATACACGTCTTCGATGAATCGTTCTCTCTCCCCTCTCGAGTAATACTTGGCTGCAACATGTGTGGCCAAGGAGTGTTCAGTTTGCTTTAATAGTTTAACAACATGTTCGTCCACCAGAACATATGAAATGCCAGAACCCGGGCACTCGTAGTTTACATTGAGTAATAGTCGTTCCATGATGCCTCTCAATCCTCGAGCACCAGTACCTTCATCTTGGGCAAGACTAGCCACCTTCATAAGAGCCTTTTCAGTGACACACAAGTGAACTCCGAATTGCTTGAAAATGTATTCGTACTGCTGCATCAAGGCATTTTTACATTCTCGAAGAATGTGGTAGAGGTCTGATCTCTCGAGCGGCTCCAAAGCCGTTATTATTGGAACTCTTCCGATAAGTTCTGGGATAAGTCCGTAGCTCACCAGATCTGTGGGTGTAACTAGATTCAAAGCGGATGTCTTCTTCCCATTGGGGAGCTCAACTTTTTCAATAGTACTGCTGAACCTTAATTGACGAGGATCATCTTTTTTAGTCTCTGAATCATCCACAGTTGCATCAGACCTGGCGGAGTTGATCCTCTTCACAATGTGCTTATCCAAACCTACAAAAGCACCCATCAAAATGAAGAGAATGTTTGAAGTGTCTACAATAAACGTTTCCTCTTTTTTGGCAAGTGCTTGATTGTTTTTGGGATCTTCTTTTTTCTCGATGGGCCTTTTGGCTACGATCTCGACAGAGCGGCCTTCGAGCATCTTCAAAAGCGATTGTTGAACACCTTCTCCTGACACATCCTTGGTTCCGATACTGGCGGCGGGTTTCGCCAATTTGTCCACTTCATCCAACACAATGATGCCTCTCTCGGCTTTAGCTACATCGTAATCCGCACCCACCAATAATCTCGTAATGCACACCTCCACGTCTTCGCCAATGTATCCTGCCTGTGTCAACTGTGTACAATCTGTAATGGCTATCGGTACATCAAGAACCCGCGCCAATGTCGATGCCAACAACGTCTTACCAGAGCCCGATGGTCCCACTAACAACACGTTACTTTTCGAGAGCTCCAAATCTTCATCCTTCGGGTCCATATCAAGAGAAAGTCGCTGACGCAAGTGCTGGTATCCAGATTTGGCCTCAGAACTACCGGAGTAGATTGGTTCGTCTTCATCATCGTTTTTTCGCTGTTTCTCCAGCAACTCGCTCTCCATCTTGGCTTCTATACGTTTCTGCTTGTCATTCACCCTCAAGTAGTGGTTATACACCGCTACACTCATCACTTTCTTACCAACATCTTGTCCAACCACGTATTTATCCAAAAACTGTCGAAGTTCCTTAGGTGAAGGTATTTGTTTAGAAGCAAATGCGCTATTCTTGTTAGCGATGGTCCTCACAAGCTGCGATGGTTTGGAAAACCTCCACCCGATTCTAATCATCGAATTAAGTTGAGCTGAGGCGGTGCTTTCAACAAGAAAGCTTGATATATCAAATAAAGATCATCAATTGATATCGAAATTAAAACACGTCTTGTTAAATCTGCTGAAGGAATCCATCAAGACCGTCAAAAGTTCATTGTGAAGTTAAATCATGGAGCAGGACGTATCAAGCCATAGGGTTCCCCAGTTTTACTGCTGCTACTTACTTCGGTCAACTCCGAAGAAACAGTCTTTTTATATAGGATCGACGCCTGATCCAGTACGAAGGCTTCGACAGCATAACGGAGCTCTCGCCAACGGGTCTGCTTATAGAACCAAGAGAAATGGTCTTCGACCTTGGGAAATGATAGCCTGTGTATATGGGTTCACAAGTAACATTGCGGCGCTGCGGTTCGAGCATGCTTGGCAGCACAGTTATCATACGCATTTTATACACGACAACGAGCGGATTGTGAAAAACAAGACCGGTGGAAGAAGCCTGCATCACAAGTTAGGAAACGTTCGGCTGCTCATGAAAGCTCCATTCTTCCAACACATGGACCTCGTTGTTCATTTTTTTGACAAAGACGCTGTAAACGTCTGGGAACAGAATAGATTCAGAGTTGACAGCGATCCAGTGACAGCAAAATCCACTTCAGAAGGAAATAGCGATACTGATTTAACAGATCCCGACGAATTGCCGCTGTTGAATTTCACAAAGGTGGAGAAGCTGTTACTTGACGTTCGAATAGAACACCATAAGAATATCAGCATACAGCAGAAAATTTTGGCGAATGGAGCCTTAACGTGTGGTGTGTGTCATGGCGGTTTCAATTATACGGACGATCAGGACGCGGAGGAAAAGCTTAAACCTTTGGTAGCATTCTGTCCGCAGGAACAATGCCCTTTTGTATCTCATCTCAAATGTCTTCATAAAGTGTTTTTGGATGATGAGTATTTGGACGGCAAATGCGAGAGACTCATCCCCAAATCGGGCAGCTGTCCGTTGTGTGAGAGCATTATGTCTTGGCCTACAACTGTAAAATATGCCACTTGGATAAGGGATTGTAGTACGTAGACGGGAGACATAATGGGCTACGACAGCTCCAGAGACCATGCATTTTCTAAGCTCAGCTTTGGATTTTCGATGACCACCAGGTTGGCATCGGTTTCTCTACGAACTGGATGGGCCCAGCTTTCGGTACCTTGCGTGAACATAGCGCGTGCCGTTCCACACTTATCAGGAAAGGCAATTAGGATTCTCTCGACTTTAGTTGAGAAAAGCTCTTGTCCAGCGGCAACATGAAGGGCTCTGGACGCCAAAACACAGTCTTCAAAGTCAAACGCTACCTCCAGGAACTTGTGATCTTCATAGCTGAACGTTTCTCCGTCGTCCACGTATAATCTGCCGTGCGCTTTACCATAAGCATCTGGGGCTATCACTAACGTGAAAGGATCATTCTTTTGCAGCATGGAGGACCGTCTATACCTCTCTCTTCTTGCCAGTATGTGTCCACCCTCAATAAACAAAGCTTGTTCATTTAATGGCACCTCGATCTCAATGGACCCTTGCTTTTTCACTGTAAAGGCCTTCATGGTTTTATACTCATAAAACCGCCCCTCGGGGAAATATACGCTTACTGTTTCGCTTCCAGAATCTGTCACAGGTTTGACCAAAAGGCCACTTTCCCCCAAGTAGAACTGATCGTCAATACTGTATAATTCTTTTATTTCTGGGTGAACGTAAAACATTGGATTCATGATGGGAGTACCATTGACACTTGCCGCATAGAAAGCTGTATAGAATGTCGGCAGCAGGGAGTACCTCAGACGAATTGTGTCCCTCACGATGGACTTTGCAGGTTCCTGTAAGAGGTAAGGTTCCCTCCTCGCTGCATCGATGTGTGCATGGCCTCTAAAAAAGGGATACCACATCCCAGCTTGATACCATCTAATAAGAAGCTCTTGAGTTGGATTTCCTGAAAAACCTGCAATGTCCGCGCCTATAAATGGGAATCCAGCAATGTTGTTGGTGAGACACATAGGAATGGACTGTCTCAAATAGTCCCAATTTGCAACGTTATCGCCAGTCCAGGTTGCCGCTGTGCGTTGTGAGCCAGCAAAAAAAGATCTTGTCAACACAAATGGTCTTCTGTTTTCTGTCTTGTAGAATTCTTTCATGGCATCGTACGTGGTTTCGTGCACGCTTAACCCGTACAAATTATGGATTGATCTTTCTTCAAATCCTCCACCGTGGATTAGATCTTTCGGAGCAGTGGTTTCAGGCCCACTAAATATAGATGGCTCGTTCATGTCATTCCATATATGTAAGTTTTGGCATTTGTCCAAAAACTTTGTCACAAGTGTGCTCCAAAGATCTCTCGCTGGTTTGCTCATCGTGTCAATCCAGATTGACTCTCCAGGCCAACAGTGACCATGGTAGCTACTACCATCATCGCTTCGGACAGAAGTTTCGGTGTTTTCCACCAATTGACTGACTTCGTAATTAGCTTTCAAGTGCGGATCAATCAGTGCCACAAGGTTTCTGCCATGCTTCCAAAGCTTTCTCAGCATCCTGTGAGGATCAGGAAAAGCATCTGGCTTCCATGTAAAAAATTTCTTGCCGTCTGTGTACTCCAAATCGAGCCAAATGAAATCATAGGGTATTCCAGCTTTGTCCATCTGAGAGTCGACTGTGAGTACATCACTTTCATCATTGTAGTTCCATCTGCACTGGTGATAGCCTATTGATGAGATCAGCGGTAATTGTGGCTTCCCGGTTATTTCTGTGTAGGCAGTTGTTATATCCAGCGGCTTATCCGCCAAGAATATTATGACATCGATGACGCCATTCTCTGATATCCAATGAGTCCTCGTGTCTCCCGTTGTATACTCGATATCTATCCATGTATCTGCAGAATTAACCCAGAAAATGCCCGCTGCAAAGTTTGGGTTAATCCCAATCATGAAAGGAATGGAGCCATACATCGGCGTTTTAGCATTGAGATTGTATTCGAAAACATCGACGTTGAACAAACGGTAAGGATCGCCTTCTGATGTGTCCTTGAGGCGCAAGCTGTCAGCGTGCTCTGGAATACCGTAAACATCATTGACGCCTACTAGGGTAAAATCAAGGGCAGCAGATTCCGGACCAAACGGTAAAGAGTCCTCCCGAGAATAATGAAAACTATCCACAAAGTCATCAAATGTCAGTTCTTCTGTTAGTTTTTCGCTACTGTTGTTTTCAAGAGCTCGTTGATGCTCTATGTTCAGCAGCATTCGATCATTGACGACTAGAACAAGCTTTCCACGATAGAAAATTTCAATCCGAAATTTTTTGAGACTGACTTTCAACGACACATCCGAATCTTTGCTCTTTATGTGAGTGCTGTGCCTTTGAAAAGGCCAAACCGACCGTTTGAATTCGACATCGAATGGCCGAAGTTGGGCTTGCTTGTCAAACGCCCAAGATGCTGCTTCATCATATCGTTTCCGATTCAAAACATCCGAATTTAGGTTTGTATCATTGTTACGTAGCTCATCTATCTTGATGCGTACGCTTCCTCCTTCTAATACGTCGATGAATAGCGGCAAGATCACTTTTCTACCATCCAAGCCGTCTTTATCGGACGAAACATCTTTCTGAATGTTGGCAACAAAAGTGTGATTTGAATTGTCATACTGGATACTGGATGAATCCAGGGAATACACGTTTCTGCCACTTTTCAGTACTTCCTTGGCATAGTGTCTGTTTCGCAAGCAAAAACCGGACTGTGAACAAGACTTTAGCAAGTAGTCAGTAAAAGCCAGGGTATAGCCACACAGTGCTAGGCCCACAAGGAGCTTTGAGAGTAACCAGATCTTAGCCATATGTGTCCGCCCCTTTAGAAGTGCCGCACAACTGACCGTGAACCTTAACGTCAGTCAAGTATGTGTGATATGTTCATTGCAAGAAATCGCCAGAAACGAGAGAGTATGTCAAAGCTGCTATAAAAGGCCTCCGCCCGCCTTAAAGTGAGCCGATTGTGGCATTGAAGGTCTGGCACTTATGCGAGGTTCTTTGATTTACTATTATTTGGTTGTATTCTGGAAACCAAAGAATATAAGCTTGATTATCGGTAACCGTCAGTTTAAGAATAGAAATTCATTGCTGGCGATTGAGCTCCAGAGTCAGTGAGGACCGTCCACTAATAGAGCTTGCATTATTGCTCGGAAGGTTTCACCTTTTTATGTCTCCCAAGGTCGAAACTCAAGATCAATGTACTAAGCATTCAGATCTTTTTATTGGCGAAACAATCGAATTATAGGGTAGCGAAACTTTGTTTGAGCCAAATATAAAACGGCCACAGATAATGCTAGCCAGACTAGTGAATCTGATCAGTTGAAGATGTTAATTACCGGGCATTCGACGTTTTCCCACTCTTTGTCACTTAGCGCGCATTAAGCTGTGTCATTGGAGAGTTTCTGATATTTTGAAGAAAGAAAACTGCACGATGCAAACTGGCGCTCTCATTCAGCATGGCGGATTTGAAGAACTTCAAAATTTAACTGCTCTTCCAAGGATCAAAATCTTCCAGAAAGGATCCAAAATTAGGCCTAGTTTGCCCAGTATACGACAATTGCTTTGTGATATCAATGCGCGAAGTAGCGAAAACAATTTCTCAAGCAACGGCAATTGTAAAGCTCCAGTTCAAGCTCATGTGTTCTCCTCACTAAGCCCTGCCGAGATGGAAACATCTACGAGATACGCGAGGTTGTCCCAAAATGAAGGTTTGCGATTCGCTCCGACACTTTCTGGGGCGTCGCGGCCTAATGCCGCTACTTACCAAGTCTCCAAAAACAGCTCTGTTGACAAAACTCAGCATGTGCCGCTTCGGGCTAACACGTTAGCACCTCACCCTACAGTCTTTCCGGGTAGAGCAAGCAGACCAACCGAAGAGCTTTTGAAGCTCGCTTACCTCGTAGAAACGCCTTCTTTGGGGGGTAATGGGGCTGATGACGCTCTTATACAGCTCAACAAGGACTATCAACTGAAAATCGCGGAAACACTAGAGAGTCTTCAGATACTTTATCACCATATGCAGGAGTGGCCGTTGTCACTGCACAGCAAAGACATGAAAGATCACGATGCTTTTGCGCTCTTGATTGATTATGTCTCGCCAGATAGTTTAAAGCTAACTATCAGGATGGCCAGACGTGCTTTCGAGTCTCTGAGATCAATCGAGCAGTGGAAGTTGAAATACAAGAAGCTTCACCCAAATCTTCCCAGATGCCAAAGCGGTAAAGTGATTAAGAAAAATAACCCGTCACGCATGAACGATGCTGTAAAAACCAAAAAACGTCAGTTTGAATTTCAGAAGTCAAAGCAAGTCGATAGCGGGAATACTTCAGTCACTGCCGTAAACGACTATAATGGAGCGTTGAGGAGTAATTTCCAGTGTGTGCCAGTGACCTTGCCAAATCCAGAGAGCAGTTTGTCTTCCGCAGGACTGCAATGCGCACATTGTTCAACCACCAAGACACCTGAGTGGAGAAAAGGACCATACGGAAAGAGAAGCCTCTGCAACGCTTGTGGGCTTTTTTACAAAAAACTCGTCAGAAAGTTTGGGGACAGTCAGGCTGGTAGAATCATGAAATACAGAAAAATGAGTTCAAATAGTGATCGAAAAGTTCCCAGGGTGTTCGACGTTCCCGACTCTGAGTAATTCTTGATACCAATTCAAAGCTATCACTTCTTTTGTTTATATTATTCTGTACGTTCTTAGAACCAGATGAAAGATCACCCTCGTTCAAAAAATCGCACCATTCTTAACAAACAACCTGTCCTCGTTTCTACGACACCAGTCAACAATCGCTTTTGCACTTCTCAATACGGCATTCCGATCACTCGCACCGTTGTTGCATATCAAAAACAACTCAAAAGTCGGTGTGAGCCATGCTAAACATAATACGTCAACAACTTCACCATGCGGCAGACCATTCATTGGCAGGCCGTCACTTGACCATTGTATAAAACTCAAAACAGATCTATTGAGCGGGGCACCATTTTGGTCAATGACATTGTTCCTGATGTGAGTGTAAGTTCGCATTAGTTTGTAGAGATAGACTTTATGCTTCTCTCGTTTGTGGCTGTCAGGGCGTTCATATTCACCTTGGTCATCTCTGTAATTCGCAGTAAAAGTGCTGGTCCTATCATCATACGGATCGTTATTGTATAGGTCAAGCTCTTCAAGTCGCGGCATGACATACTGAACGTGCTTCTTAGACTTATAGATGAAGTGATGGACAAATTTTGCAGGTATATCGGCCATGGTGAAGCCAAATTTGGATGCTCTTTCAATTTGCTCGAGAAGACTCTTGCTGACAAGATCATCCACAATCTGCTGACCAATTTTCTTGAGTTCGAAAAAGCTCTCCTTCTGCGCACTTATTAGCACAAGAGCCGGTGTTGAGGAGGAAACTTCCCGATTATCCTCAAGTGGAGTCTCGGAGCCAGCCGCTGTAAGGTCTGGGCTAGTTCTAGTAAGGTGGGGAGGCAAGCGCCTGATAAAACAATGCAAAAATCCGCTGGAATTGAATTTTGGGAAACAGATGGGTAGCCAGAGTTCTTGATCATCTTGCAATCCCTGATATTGATTGAATATGAGCGAAAATAAGAGATGTAGGTCTGTTGTGTGCAGGGTATGGCCTCTTGGTCTAAGTACGGCACATAACTGCCCTCCCGGTGCAACTATGAGCCCGTACAAAACCGTTCCTCTTTCACTGGCGACTTCGGCGTGCTGTACGTGGGTCAGCATAGCAGTATGCACAGCTTGGCGAGTTGACTTTCGCATCGTGAGACATCTAAGAGCTCCTAACAGAAAGTCCGGATTGAACCCGTTGGCTATGGATTCGCATATATGTGTCAAGTTCTCGAAGTCAGTATTGGTGAGGAAGTGACGGAGATCGAAGTTTTCCCGCTTCGTAAACAATCGAGTGAGCTGGCGCCGGCTAAGAGTGCAAATAAGGTATGAGTACAAAAAATCCAGTTGCTGTGAAAGGTCATTTAACGACTCTTCGCGAGATGACACTGCCATCAAAAGGATGGGATTTTTGTCGATGAATACGAGGTTCTGCTTGATGCAACCTCCGCCAGAATTTGTAATAGAGTGAATCTTGGTATCGTGCACCTTAAAATAGTTTGCAACCGTGTGTATAATGCCCATAAGTCCCATCACAAGCTCGTCTTTGCCATGCATTGAGAAAATGGGCTTTCCCGCTGATGATAGTATAAAAAATTGTTTCTCCTGCGGTAAGGGGCCTTGTGATTCGTTATCCGGATCCCTTGTTTCGAATAAAGATGGAATTTCGTTGCTAACAGCATGACCTCGCGGTGAAAGGTCAAGCGATCGCATTGACTGTAATAATTGATGTTCCAAATGGCGACGGCTTGTGCTCACCGACTGCTGCTCCGATGCCAAATCCATATACACGCTTGCATCATCAGCAAATGGGCGTGATGCTGACGAAAACGAAGACGTTAGATTCACACTTGTTGTTGGATCTGTTGTTGCCCTTATAATGAATGGAGATGATTGGTGCGAATTTGAGCCCGAACTCAACCGTTCTGGTGCCCGAAGCTTGTCCACATAATTCTCGTTTGGAGTTTCAACCATTGAGAAGCCACCACTGACCAGCAATGAATGTGAACTCAAGGTTTGACATGGTCTAGCAGCTTGCATCCGGACTCCTTTGACAACGATTTCCATGAGAGTAATATATGTGATCTTACAATAGGTCACGTGTTTCTTGATGATGATCTGTTGAAGTAGATCCTGGATTCTGTACAGATTCCACTCCTTTTTCTATGGATGTAGGCTTCGGATGCCTGTTAAGCATCTCTCTTTCGCATTACCTTGGCTCAATCTCTCCTTAAACCTGTTCTTCAAATTTTTTTAGTTATGCAGGCGCTCCTGCTATTTGACTGAAAGAAACTTCGAGCAGAACGATAACACTCAAATGTGACTTGTGTACTATTTAGATTGTAGATATGAATATGATACGAGGAATGCTGTAAAATGTGTAGACCGTGAACCAAAACACGCGGTATGGTCGGGTTAAGTGGAAGTAACGAGGACTGTGTATAGTCGCTGGGAGAAGATCGCTTTAGGAAACGAGAATAAATCTGTGTCTTTCAGACTTGGCTTTCCAGACTCTGCCTGGTTTGCTTCTTTACAACTTCTTCTTGTCGAATTTGGAATAATATTTAACAGACAAAAAGGCATCAAGAGCCAAAAATGCGGTGGCAGCGCCAACGGTGGAAATGATAATAGCATCAGACTTTCCCCTGAGATATCTGGCGTGGTGTTTGGCGTAGCCTCTCAACAGCTGCGGCACAAGAAACGCGCCCAGGGCCGCGTTGACGACCACCACAGGGTTCTGGAGTTCCCGTACAGCACGCGACGACGTGTTTTTGATCTGTGCCGCGAAGTACGAGCCAAGGGCCGCTGCACGGTCCGATGCAATACGCACATATTCCAACGCGGTGTTCTTGTAGTTTTGTACGGCGTCGTCTTCTTTGAGTTCTTCAAACTCACGATCGGCCTCTTCTCTGAGTTCCTTAGCTTCAGAGCGCAATTCCTGTGCGGCCTTCTTGGCTGCGTCAGGAATATGCGACGCATCAACCTCTGTTTGGTTCACAGCCTCTTTAGCGTCCTTCTTTGCGTTCTTTACGTGGCTGAAACAAAAAAAACCCCGATCTTGTTAGTATACAACATTTGCATATTGGCCGAAACGGCATCCATCCTCCACATACTCTGGCATTACGCTCAATTATATATATGTACGCTTTTGTTTTGAATGTTCTTTCAACAACTCTTTGCGCAAGAGCCGATACATGCTGGGGTAAAATAGCCCCCTTCCGTCGCCGCTTTTATACTTTTTTTTTCGGTCTCCCCTAATTGCGTCAAAATACAGATATCCGGTCATTTTTATTGTTATTGCTAAAACCGCGCGTCACGAAAAACACCAAGTGACATCAATTTGCGCGCAGACAGAGACACACACACACTGATACTCAAAACCTATAGTAACGATAAGAGCTGTTGATTGGGAAATCTTTACTGGAATCGCAGATTTGATAGTACTTGTAGAGTTTGGGATTATTTCGAAGGAGATTGGATCAGATCTGTGCATGTTTTCATTGCCACTTTGTGTGGTGTGCGTCTTTCAAGGGATTGCGACACTGAATGAACGATAAACTATGTGATTAAGTGGTATATGGCTAGACTTTCCATATGGCCATATATCGTATCGAAAGTATTGAACGGTCGACATTGGGTGGGATAACCGTGTGTCACGTGATTTAGGGTCTCGAAGTATGTGTGAAGAAGAGTCTGATGGATGCACACAGACAAGGAACTGGTGATGGTGGTGGTGGAGCATTTTCAGTCACAGGTGAAGAAATAGATTGTTTTATAGTACTGAAATGGCCTCCAACAAGATATCGATAACTCAGTTGGCCAGATCTTCACCTGTCTCCACGATGGAAGGCCAATGTCGTTTTGTCGTCACACACCTCTTGTCTACATAAACTACGCAAAGACGTTATCTGAAACATGTTTTGATTGCACAAACACAGACACCCAAATGACATGTAGTATCCGATCTAAACCGTTACTATATGGAAACACAGATATGTTATAATCAGTTGTAATGTCAGTTCCCAATGCTCTCTTTCTTTGACTGCTATTTTTCTGAACACCCATACATTTTACAAAACCCACCGAATGTTTTTCAATTTGTTTCAAAAACGGAACTTTCTCTTGAAACGAAAAACTGAACACCAACTGGAACATTTTGAACCCACCCCAGCTGAAAAATTTTGTACAATGTACTCGCGCCCTCTGGCGATGGCGTACTCGCCAGCTCTGAATGCTTTGGTGGTAGACACACCATTGGTATCAAAAGACCTTCACTCATCGTCTATTCAACCACCACCAATTTCACTACCTTTTTCGTTTTAGAAACCAGTGTCTACTAAAACAACTCGCAGTCGATCGAAAGTTACCCACCATCAACTTTCCGTGATCCATTCCGGCTTTAGAAGTTTAATAGTCGATACAAATCAAATCTCGTTCCAGCACTAAAAAATGTCTGCTCCAGCTCCAGCTTCTCAAGCTCCAGCCCCAGCCAGAGGTGGCTTCGGTGGCCGTAACAAGGGTCGTCAACAAAGAAGAGGTAGAAGAGACCAGGAAGAAAAGGGATGGACTCCAGTCACCAAGCTCGGAAGACTTGTGAAGGCCGGTAAGATCTCTTCCGTTGAGGAAATCTTCTTGCACTCTCTTCCTGTCAAGGAAGTCCAAATCATTGACACTTTGTTGCCAACTTTGAAGGACGAGGTCATGAACATCAAGCCTGTGCAAAAGCAGACCAGAGCCGGTCAAAGAACCAGATTCAAGGCTGTCGTCGTCGTTGGTGACTCCAACGGCCATGTTGGTCTAGGTATCAAGACTGCCAAGGAAGTCGCTGGTGCCATCAGAGCCGGTATTGTGATCGCCAAGTTGTCTGTGATCCCAATCAGAAGAGGTTACTGGGGTAACAACTTGGGTCAACCTCACTCTTTGGCCACCAAGACCTCCGGTAAGTGTGGTTCCGTCACCGTCAGATTGATCCCAGCCCCAAGAGGTAAGGGTATCGTCGCTTCTCCAGCTGTCAAGAAATTGTTGGAATTGGCCGGTGTCGAAGATGTCTACACTTCTTCCAACGGTTCCACAAGAACTTTGGAAAACACTTTGAAGGCTACTTTCGTCGCCATCGGTAACACTTACGGTTTCTTGACTCCTAACTTGTGGGCCGAGCAGCCATTGCCAGTTTCTCCTTTGGACATCTACGCTGACGAGGCCGCTGTTCAAAAGAAGAGATTCTAAGTTATCTAGTCTGTAATTAAAAAGATTTGTTGTAACTCGAACCATTACTGAAGAGGTGGTGACATTACGTGCGTGTCGCAATACAATTTTCAGATAATTGATGCCACCATGCTAAGGTATCTTCCGCTAACAATCAAATAGATATTATAAGGAAGTTAATCAGTCAGTCTATAGCGCGCAGCTAGACGACTTCTTTAAACGTCTTTACCACTGTCAGCATGGTAAAGACTTCGAAAAATGAACGACAGGCAAGTATGAAATAATTTCGATAGTTCAAAAAGCACAAAATCATTACAGCCGTGTATTATTTGAATGTAGTTTATTTCTTATTGAAAAACCTCTTTATTTCCTTAGGTTTAGCTTTTCAGTCAAGGTTGTCAAGCTCTCATTGTTCATTTGAATGATGAGTATGATTCTGAGGAACAGTTTGTCGTCTGCACAAACTCAGCCCGGACACACACACAAGTCATCTTCCATAGCGATGTCGAAATATCGATTCAAACCCTTTTGAATCGAAACTTCGTATAACTATATATATGACCTCATGTATGAAATTCATGCTTTTGAAAACATTTCTGGATGCAGTTGCGTGACACTAATCAAATGCACCAGGCATCAATTCGAAGCTGGCCTACTTTGACCAGCTTTACTGTACTTTTTTTCTTTTTTTTTTGGTTATTGTAGATAGTAGATAGAATAAATTGTGAGTCTTGACCAACTCCAACTATCCCATGATGGCATCATTCTCCTGAGATGGCATGGACTCCGTGACTTGGTTATCGGGTACAGCAAAAGGACGCTCATTAGACGATGAATTTCCTCCTTGCAATTCAGGATTCACCCAGGTGTTTTTGGAGTCGGAAGAACGTGAAGGTTTCTGAGGCACTTCTCTTCCTTCAGGATGTTTGTACAAACAAGAGATGTTTCGACAATTGACCCCAAATTTACAGTCTTCGTTAATTGGGTGGCCAAACAAACAATCGATCCTGGTACAGTCAGCACCCTCGCGACACATAATATGGGAACGGGCGTGTCTGAACTTGCATCTTTTGTTCGTGCAGTTGGGACCAAACTTACACTGTTCAAGTGATTTTTCAACAGGTGGTCGCTGTGGTTTGCGCGATACAGCCTGTGCGACTTCTTTTATTTTCGACGATGAACTGTGGGCCTTGTTACAGTTAGGGTCTTGACAGTTCAAATTCTCGGGACACCATGCGAATGTTACTACTTTGGCAACGTCATTAGCCGGCGTTGGGTGGCCAAATGGGCATTGTGGGTTAGTGCACAGTAATCCAAATTTGCATAAAACGATACCAGTACGTTCATTGTTGTTTTTGGCAGCAGCGAAAGCAGCTCTTTTTTCGCGAAACTCTTCGCGGGTCCTTTCAATTTCTTTCATGAGTTCCACATCTTCATTAGGATGTAGATAATTGCAAGTTCCCGGGGGATTTGAACAATTTGGATATTCTCTGCATGCCTGTGTAGGATGTGAGTGTGGGCAGTTCTTACCTAACGGACAGCGAGGGAAAACTTGGCACCGTCCCTGTTTTTTGTTGACAAAGTTGATGTTCGAGTTGTCAAGCCCGAGGGCCATCGCCAAGGCGTTACTGTTGACGTTGCTACGTCTTCCATTCCCTGCTTTATTAGGTCCACCGCCTCTTTCAGAGCGTTCTTGACGGCCACCGCGTGCTCCGAATTTGCTGACCACACCGCGACGCTGTGTGTTATTGGCAGAGTATGAGGGGCGTGCTGGTCCTGCTGCAATGTTCACAAGACCCTCAAACGCTGATTTTGGTTGCGAGGGGGCATTATCGGAGGCGTAAATGGAATTCTCAGTTCCGGAGCCAAACTGCTGAGACACGTCTTGTGCTTGGGGATGCTGCTGCTGTTGTTGCTGTTGTTGTGACTGTTGTTGTTGAGAAGGTTGCTGCTGCACTTGTTGTTGCTGTACATCCGGTTGTGGTGTAGAAATTGTTGGTTGCGTTTGCGTGGCATGCTGTCCGGTAAGCTTAGCCATTGTCGTTTCCAAGGTGTCTCCGTTCTGCAAATATTCCATGGCTTTGTATGCATTTTGAGCCACAGACTGGAAAGCTTGTGCGGAAACAGTATCGAATAAAGAGGTGAGTTCTTGGACCACAGAGTCCACGTTTCCTCCGTTTGACATCAAAAGTACAATGTATTCAGCGACATAGTTGACATCCTCATTAAAGTTTGGCAGAGTTTTCAAGTTTTCGGCAATGATAGTCTTTAAATTGTTCACCACTTCTTCCTGAACCGCTGACATCTTGAAAGGTAGGTAAATGCGTTATTGATGCCCTTTTAGTTATGGTTTAAAAGTGTTAAGGAAGACGGATGGTTTAGCTTACTGATATCAAATTTGCCATATCCCAGGATTCCGTGTGTAATGATATATGGAACAATTAATTTATGTCACTATTCACTAGCCATTGTTAGAGTACTTGTAAACGATTTCGGGTTCGTCATGTGAAACGACTTGCGGATGGAGAAAACCCCAAGGTGGAGG